CCATCAGATGAGGGATGGAGTCAACCAAGCAGAAGACAAGGGAAGGGGGCGTAGGAAGGCTGAGACTCCCACCTCACTACTACACGGTCCAGCAGCAAAAACACACATCCTTGCCCACCTACAATATTCATCACCCAAACATGCCACCAATACACCGCCAACAACTGCTATGCATACTGTCCCTGTTTCAACACGCAGAAACTGAGGTGCATGCTTGCTCAGTCAGGCAGCCAGGGAGGGACAGAGCGAAGACACAGGAGCAGCCCCGAGGACTTCCACAGTCAGACCCGCCCAGCGCAGGGCACCAGGGCCCAGCAGCCCTGACAGCGGCTGGATGACCAGAGGCACATCCTGGGGGCCTCTGTGGTGTGAGGAGCATCACTGAGGAGCACCACCCCCCACCACCCCCCACCACCCCCCACCGCCCCCGGGCCAGCACGCATAGACACACCACCTTCAAGGGTTTCCAGGCTCAGGCTGGAGCCCTGTTCCGATGCTGGGGCGACCACAGGGACCGCCACCCCGCTGTGCTCAGGCTGTAGGCACAGAAGGGCAGGTGAAGGCAACTGGACCCCAGGAGGCCCCCTTGAGGCCCCCCAGTGCTGGTGGCAAGAGAGCCAGGTGGCCCCCGCAGCCCTCAGTGCCCAGGAGGAACATCAGCTCACTTCATCTCACCAGAACCTGAGGCCCCCACAAAGAGCAGCTCCAGCACGTCTCTGCTGCTTTTTGTCCTGGGCCTCAGGAGATCAAAAATATTAAAATGAACTACGGAAAGAAGTGGAGAAATCAAAACGTATCCCATGAATAATCTGTCAGGAGTGGGTGGAGCAAAGAGGCCCGCCCGCAGCCTGGGGAGGGGGTCTTCCCCTGCAGCTTTTTCCAAAACTCCCCATGAGTTCCCCACCCTGAGGCCGAAATCCCCTTCCCACTCTTGGGGTGGTGTCCCTGGTGCACAGACAGGCTGTGCTGGGGAGACCTGAAAAGGACCACACACCCCAGGACTCCCAAGTGCACGATCACAGAACCAAAGCCATGGGCAAAGGCCAGAGAACAGGATAACTGAGCTGGGCACGACAGAAGGGCACAGGAGCCAGCGTGGACAGTGGCACAGCCGAGGCCTGGACGGAGGCACACGGGACCACCGGCCCAGACCCCACTGTGACAACGCGTGGTACTGACACACAGTCTGGAGACCCCAAACTCTCAGGATGATCACATCACCATCAGCATCCTGGGGGAGCCTTCTGAACCAATGAGAACTCTGAGCAGCGCTGGGGGGGCACAAGAGGAAAGGGCGGCACTGACCACCTGGGGAATCACTAGACACCAAAGCTCGCTCTGGACCCCTCTCTGAGGCTGGGGCTCAGGGGGCTGTCTTGCCCACTCGCCTGGCAGTGCCCACAAGCTGAGGCCAGGCCTTTCCTGAGCCTACAGACACTCATGTCCAGAACAGCAAGGCCTTCTGCAAGGGAGCCAAGGCCCGGGCCTGCAGCTGCCACAGCCAACCCCAGGAAGACAACCACAAACACACATGACCCAGATTCGGACACAAACACAGACACACCCTGCAGACAAGACTGTCTCCTGTCCACCCTGCACTAAATGACCTGCCACAGCCTTTCAACCACAGGCTTATCCAGACGGCCAGAACCCACCACAATCCTGCACACGGAGTGCCCTCGGGCCACGATGGCTGTCAAGGGGGCAGGCACCCCAGAGAGGTCTCCAGTTCACTGGGAACACCCCTCATGCCACACACGGCCAGCTCCCAGTCTAAAACGAGGGGCCCGATCAGCCTGCTGGGACCTGCCACCCTCCCCCACCCACAGTGCCCAATCCCAGCCCTGGTCTGCAGACAGCTGCCACCTGGGCGCCAGCCGAGGGCAGGAACACCAGCACATCCACGAGCGCACAAGGCCCTCCCGAGCGCAGGCGACAGGCCTGGCTTCCCCTCCCCTCCTCCGCTCCCAGAGACTCTGACACTCCGCTGGAGGGGCGCCCAGAGAAAACCGGGCGGGAACATCTATTCACAGATTCGGAAAAAAAAGTTTGATGCAATAGCTGAATTAATTAGGCCTCCCAAGAATAGCAGAGCCAATGCAGCATTCTGTGTGTGCAATTTAATAAGCCTGGATACTCAAAAGAAAAGTTACAAATACTTGGGGAGGGGGGAGGTGCCATGCAAAGCTGGTGTGGACCCCAGTGAGTGGCCAGGAGCTAGCAGCCTGGATCACATTGATCCACTGTCTGGTGAACAAACAGACCCCACGCTGGCGGCCCTCCTCACCTCGCCCTTTGCGTCTCAGAGGAAAGGACAGGAGAAAACGTTCACATCCAAAACAAACCACAGGCCAATGGCTCCCCTAACACTCAGATCCTCAGGCGCCTGGTGACCAGTCCCCGAGCCTGGTGCCAAGTGGCCCTCGCCCCCACACGGGGGACTCTGAGACTCACTCTCTGGCAGCCCAGGCACACACACAGAGCTGGAGTCGCCGAGTCTCGGCCCCCGGCCACCACGGCCCAGACACCTGGCTTCGCTTTGGAGTCTGTCTCCCAAGACTTCAAGGCACAAACAGGCCCTGCCCAGCCAAGTTCCGCCTGCTAGGGACACGGGCAGGCGCCCCTCTGTGTGCCAGCCCGGGAGTGGGAAGGCCAGGGCGGTTCCCTGCCCCCCACTCAGCATGGACACCCCCCTGGTCCCCAGGAAGGCCTGGGCTGGAGGCTCCAGACTGGAACTGGCCAGGATCAAACTTCCTGGGACTAAGGGCAGAAGTGGCCTGCCCCTCCCGACCCAGCTGGGCAACAGCTGTGGGCCTCAGGAGGGCTTCACCCCCCAGGCTCCCAACCAGGCAAGGAGCTAATCCTAGGAGTCAGACCAAAGGACCTTCCTCCCGATATGGAGCAGTGTACAGGGACGCCAACATCACCCCCAAGTTTCCACAAAACAAAACCTAACCCTAAAACGTGTGGAGGAGGCTGAGCCCCCAAGCCAGGAGGGCACCCCGCCCTCTCCAGGCCCCGCTCCCACTCCCCAGGCACGGCTGCCAAGGGACACTCACCCGGGGCACCCGCCGCTTGTACTTGTTGCCATAGTCGAACTTCTCCTTGACGTCGTCCAGACAGCGGCCGAGGCGCGCCTGCTCCTCCTTGCCCGTGTAGTCCTGGCTGAGCAAGATGTAGGCCCGCCAGTTGGCCGAGTCGAAGCCCCAGTGGCAGGTCCGGTTTTCCAGGGCCTTGTGCGAGTGCACCACGAACTTGTGCGGCGGGTACATGAGGCGGCAGTCGAGGCACTGGATGCAGGCGGCGCTCGGGCTGCTGTAGAGCTCGGGCACCAGCAACCCCTTGCACTTGCCGAAGCACTCGTGGTACACACGCACACTGCGCTCGCTGAGCTCCAGGCCCAGCGCCAGGCTGGCCGCCAGCTCCTTCTTGCACGGCGGCGGGTAGGCGCCGCCGTACAGCAGCGCGTTGCACAGGCGCTCGGCGTCCGTCTTGGTGATGAGCCCGCACGAGGGCGCCGAGAAGGGCAGGATGCCCATGACTTTGAGGATCTCCAGCTGGTCGGCCGTGCAGCGCGAGCAGTAGATGTGAAGCTCGTCGCACACCGAGTTGATCTGCTGCAGAGAGAAGTCGCGCAGCACGGAGTTGAGGATCTGCGGCAGACACAGCCGCTTCTCGCCGCCCACCACGAAACACGAGATGGTCTCGCCCTCCAGCACGGTCTCGCAGCGCTCGGTGGAACGGTCGGACGGCATGAAGAAGGGCCCGGGTAGCACGGGCGGCGGCGGCTGGATGGCGGGCAGGTGCAGCACCGGCGGGGGTTCGGCTGCCGCGGGCACCGGCGCCGGCACCGCGGCCGCGCCCGCCTCCTTGGCGCTCTCCTTCTTGTAGGCCTCCTGCGCCCAGCGCGCCGAGAAGGCGGCCGGGCCGCCCAGCGAGCTCATGGAGCTGAGGTGGAACTGCTCCAGCGTCTTCTGCAGCCCCGGGTGCGGTTGGAAGCCGCCGCGGCCGCCCGCCGCCGCCTCCATGGTGCGCTCCGGCTCCCCAGGCCGCTCCCGCTCCCGCGTGCCCGGGCCCCCGCGGCCCCCGCCGCCGCCCCGCGCGCCCCGGCGGCGGCCCCGGCCCCGGCCCCGGCCGCCCCCCGCCGCCGGCTCCCGGCCGATCACGGCCGCGGCCTCGGCCTCGCCCGGGGGCGCGAAGGGGAAGGCGGGCGGGGCGAAGGGGTCCCGCCGCTGGAGCCCGCCGCCGCCGCCCGGGCCCGGCGCCACATCCACGCGCCCCGCGCCGCGCCCGCCGCCGCCCGGGCCCCCCGCGCGCCCCCCGCGCGCCCCCCGGGCCCTAGGCGCGGGGCATGCCCCAGCGCGCGCCGCCAACGCCAACGCCAACGCTCGCGGGCCCGGGGCTCGCGGGGGGCGCGCGGGCAGGTGCCGGCGCCGCGAGGCGCGAATCGCCGCGGCGGCCGAGGCCGAGGGGCCCGGGAGGAGCGGGGGCGCGGGCGCGGGGCCCGCCGGGCCGTCCTCGCGCGGCGCGCCGCCGCCGCCCCGCTCCTCCCACCGCGCGGCGCCCGCCCGGCTCGTCCCGGCGGCGCTGGCCGGCCGCGTTGCGCCCACCGCCGGCCTCCCGGCCCGGCCCGCGCCCACCCCGCCGCCCGCGCCCGGCTCCGCGGCCTGCCCACCCGCCCGCCCGCCCGCGCGCGCGGCTTCCGGGGCGGCGGAGCGCCTGTGGGGCGGCCTCAGACCGCGGCGGCGGCGGCGGCGCGGGGCTCGGCGCACATCCTCCCGGCGGCTCGCTCCAGCTCGGACTGAGCGCCCGGCGCTGAGCTCACGCCGCCGCCCCGCCCCGCGTCCCGCCCCGCCCCGCGCCGCCGCCCCGCCCCGAGCGTCGTCTGGGGCCGCGCGTCGGCCTCAGCCGAGCGCTAGCCAGGAATGCGCCCGCCCCCCCCCGCCGGCCCGGCTCTTCCAGGAACGCGCGCTCCCCCCGCCCGCGCTCGGCACTCCGCCTCACTCGGCCGCGTACAGGCCCGCCCTCCGGCCCGGGACTCGGATCCGCTCGGCTGATCTCGGGCCTGCCCGCCCGCGACTCGGCTTCGCTCGGCTACGCTCGGCCCCGCCCGTCCGGGACTCAGCCCCGTTCGGCTCCGTTCGGGCCAGCCCGCCGGAAGATAGCTCGGCGGGGGCGGTGGCTGCACCCCGGGCCCCCCATCCGGTGGAGGCCGCTTCCTGCGCGGCTGCGAAGGCGCCCGTCCCGCCGCCGTGTCGCCGCCAGAGCCCAGAAACCCACACAGGGCCCCCCACCACAACCGCAAACCAGCTGAGGGGCGGGCGGATGAGGCCTGCGCACCCTCTACCGCACGCCTCCCAGCCCAGCCCCCGGGTTCCCCACGCACGTGACGGGGACGCCAGGCAATATGACCCAAGTCCCACGCAGGACTGGGACACCGAGCCAGACGATGTGGATTACTACAGGATGGCAACACCCCAGAGACCCCACACGGGAGACAGACACCGTGCAGACTGTTCTGGGGGTCCCCCGGAGCGATGCAGGCGCGACACAGCAACCCCCAAAAGATGACTGGCCGCAGGGCCGACCACCCCAATGACCCTGCACCGTGGTCCCCCACACAGCCACTTGGTGCGCCCACCGCCAGTTCCAGGGCAGGGCTTGCGTCCAGGTTACAGCAAGGCCCAGGCTCCTCAGGAACCTGTCTCCTGCCTGTGCCCCCAGCACACTGGCCCAACCCTTACCCTACAGCCCCCAGGCCCAAAGAGCCATTTATACATCTGCAGGGCACCCAGGGCAGGGCCAGTGTGAGACCACTCTGTCCATCCTTCTGCACCCTGGCTCTATCAAGAGGGATGAACAGATCAGAAAGCGCTGGGTGGGACAAGACAAGGGCCTGAGGTTGGACAGGTTGACCCGGTGGCCCCCAGAGGAAACAGTGTCTAGCAGAGTCCTGGGGACTGCGGACTTGAGAGATCTAGAAGACAGTTCTGGTTGTGCTCAACTCAAGGGCAGAGGGACAGTCCAGCCCAGCTAGGCAGTGCTGTCTTTTCTTCCACAGGACCAGGGCAGCCAAGCTGGCCCAGGTACTGGAGGACACATGGGGGACCCACACACTTCAGCCTGTGTGACCTTCAGCTTGGCCCTTACTGCCCCTGACTCCCCAGTGGAGGCTGAACTGACCCCAAACCAGCACTCCTGCCCCGGGGAACTGACTGGGTGTCTCTGCAGGCATGGACAGGTGTCCAGAGAGGCAGCAAGAATGGGCAGAGACCCCATACCTGTATGGCTACAGAATCTCACGGGGTGACCTTGTGGTTCAGGGTGCATTGCTCCACATCTGAAGAACTGACAGCTCCTTACCATGGACGTGAACCCTCTCCCACCCACACGTCCACTCTTCACTCCAGTGCCGCCAACACCAGGTTTTCCTATGGCTGCCAACACAGGAAAACTAGGAAAGGGATCCATACAAAACAAGAGACGTCTTTGCTTTCGCAGACTCCATGGTGCTGGAGAAGATTCTTGTGTGTCTCTTGGACTGCAAGGAAATCAAACCAGTCAATCCTAAAGGAAATCAACCCTGAATATTCGTTAGAAGGACTGAAGCTGAAGCTGAAGATCCAATACTTCGGCCACCTGATGCAAAGAACTGACTCACTGGAGAAGACCCTGATGCTGGGAAAGATTGACAGCAGGAGGAGAAGGGAGCATCAGAGGATGAGACGGTTGGATGTCAGTGCCGACTCAATGGACATGAGTTTGAGCAAACTCTGGGAGATGGGAGGACAGGGAAGCCTGGCTTGCTGCTGTCCATGGGGTCGCAAAGAGTCAGAGATGACTTCACAAGTAAACAACAACATCCAGACCAAAAATTTTCTGTTGTACCTGAGTCTGTTACTTCTACATGGCTTTGACTCCCATACAGTCTGGTGACTTGTAATTGAAAGAAGGTGGTTGGAGGGCTGGACAGGAAGGGTTTTCAGTCAAACGCTCGATTCCTCCTGCTCCTTCAGCCAAGTCAGCATTCTCAGGAGGGCCCAGAGCCTGAGGGCCCCTGGATGGGCAGTGCCTGACTCCCGGGGGCCCCCTCCCCTCTGGCTTTGCAGGGCTCCAGGAAGGGGTCTTAAGAGGGGACCAGGAGGAGGAGCCAACACTCCTGGAGCTTGAGAACCCAGATTGAAGCGAAAGTGACTGTGCATAGGTGAGGGGGACAGGTGAGGAGTGAAGGGCCCTGAGATTCAGGAAAGGGCCTGGACTGGTCTGTAAAACTTCACTGCTTCAGTGGACTTTGAGGTTTCCTTCCCCAAAAGATGTTGGAGTTTCTAGAGCAGCCGAGCCCACCCCAACCACCATGGACCAGGACAGCTGTGCCTAGAGAGTCAGCCCAGTCCTGTCTTCACAAGCCCAGCTGGGGCCCTACCTGCTGACCTTCCTCCCATCAACTCATCACCGCAGCTGTCCTGGCCAGTGGCCTACTCCTCCCACTGACCACTGCCACAGGCCACTCACCCCACTGGCAGGTGGAGGGGCTAGGCCACAGGCACAGCCATGTTGGGGGGCAGAGGAGGAACCCAGTGCACCAGGCCACCCAGCTCACTCCCCAGCCCTTGCTGCGCTGATGGGTGTGGGCAGCTGGTCGTGCACATGTTTGCTTGAGAGATAAGCACGCACTTGTGGGATGTGTACCCCGATGGGCACGAGCCAAGCTCTGGGACCAGTGGGGAAGGAGGTCAAATCCTGCCCTGGGTGGCATCCGTCTCCTGCCAGGGAGGCCAGGGAGGCCAGGGATGGACAAACCTGCTTGTAAGGGAGCAAAGTCATTCAGGCCCCTCAGAGGCCTCCAGCAGCTGGGTGCTGGCTTCAGAGCTGGCAACGCCCCAGGACCCAGGAGATGAGCATGCTGGCGATGATGTGGTATCCACTGCCACAGGGAACAGCTCAGAGGCCCAGCTGGGGGAATGGACTGGAAGACTCAGGTCAGCAGGTCCTTACAGAGACGCCCGAAGACAGCTTCCCCAGAGGACCAACCCTGCCCTCCTTGGTCCCACCTGCTCCCTACTCCCTGTTCCTTGGGAAGAAAACACCTGGCCTCAGACAAGCACAGACTGCCATTGTCAGGAAAGGGCTAAGATCCTGTTAATATTTTTATTTTAGTTAGTGGTTTGTTTGTTTGATTTTTGGCTGTGCTGGGTCTTCATTGCTTAGCCACAAGCAGGGGCTACCATTCATTGCAGTGCTTGGCTTCTCCTTGCGGTGGCTTCTTTTGTCGCAGACTCTAGGGCGTGGCCCAGTGGTTGTAGCACACAGGCTTTGTTGCTCTGTGGCATGTGGAATCCTCCCGGGCCAGGGACTGAGGCTATGTCCCCTGCTTTGGCAGGCAGATTCTTATCCACTACGCCACTGGGGAAAGTCTCTAAGATACTGTTTTAAAACTTTAAATTTGAAAAAAATATCACATAAGTAACACAAGTTTAATAAAAACTTAACCCCCTTACCTTAGTTTGGGTTCCACTGAAGCAGATCCTGAGACAAAGATTTGGGTCCAAACAGTGTGTCTGGGAGATGTTTCCAGGTGAGAGGAAGGTGGGCGGAGGGAAGGCATATGTATCACCAGCCTGTCACTTCAGGCTCCTGGAACTGGATTGTGGGGCCCAGAGCCATTCCATGGGGCAGTCCTGATTGAGGTCAGAGCCCAGGGAGGAAAAAGACATCTGCTGGGCAGGCAGCTTGATTACTTATAGGATTGAGCCAATAAGGAAACGAATTATTGGTGACAAGTCAGATGGGAATTTAAAAATGGAAAGGAATAAATAAGTGCATGGCATTGGATTGGACTTATCCGTGTGGACCCATGAAACTGTAACAGTGGATGCATGTTTGTACAGGCATCCGTATAACCCCGAGCTCTCCCCAGGGAGAGGCCCTGAGAGGAGAGACACCCCCAACAGCATCAAGCACCCTGAGAAGCTGTGTCTTGGCTTCTAAGTGCCATCCTCCACTAAAAGGAAACAGGGTCCTTTGGAGAAACAGTTGGTCATAGGACTTGGGCAGAGAGAGGGTAGACAGAGTCTGAAACATCTTACCGTGTCAGGAAGTAGGAAAATCCAAAGGATAACAGTGACTGGTCAAGAGAGACTGTGTAGCCGTTTCAGGAGGACAGGCCCCCACTGGCAAGTCAGAGATGCTCACAATGGTAGGGGATCATAACCACAAAACAAAATAGAAAACCAGAGGGCTGTGCATAAGCAGTGTATTTAAATATGTTTTAATAATATTTGTAACTTGAAAGTTTGGTGAGAAATGGTCTATTTGCCTTGTTTTACTGTTCTTCCCCACAAGGCTCCCATCATCTGCAAAGGGAAGATGAGTGAGTTCCCCGGGGGGGACACTGGCAGGCACTGCCCAAACCCAGTCATCCAAGTGGACACCAGCGATCATCAGATTAATTGTGACCCTGCACCACCTGACTGTGGGGGGGGGGGGGGTTGGGGAGTCACTTCCCTCTATCCTGCCAAAGAGGCATAGCCTGCATCTGACCATGCTGAACCTCCAGCACCCACACAGAAGGACTTTGTACAGAAAGGCGGGCCTGGAACCTTCAAAGGCATCAGGGTCCTGACAGAGAAAGGCCGAAGAATATTCCGGACCAATGAAGAAGAAAGATACAAAGGCTCAGGGCAATGTGTGGTCCCTAGCTGGACATGGTTACTGCCAACAATGTTATCAGAGCAGCCTAGAATATGTCTGAGGAGCATAGGGCAGCAGCCCTGCCCAGGACATGGCACTGCAGGGTGTGATGGAGTCCCATGCCAGCAGTTCACTCTCACATGGCACATGGGGTATGGGGAGGGTGTGTTGTGTACTATTCTTGCAACTGCTAACTTCTCTGTTAACCTGAGATTGTTAGAAGACACCCAGTTTATTTCTAAGAATGTCACAGGGAGGATGCATGGGTTCTCTGTTGGGTCCTGTGAGCCTGAGCTGCCCAATGGAGTGGGCACCAGCCTAAGGCCACTGAAAGCCCTCCAGTCAGGCAAGGCAGGTGAGACTCCACAAGTGTCTGCTGCAACTCCAGCTGAGATGGCAGATGAGCTGGACCCCTTCCTGGCCCAACATGAACGTGTACTAGAGAACATAGGTCTGCTCTTTAAATGTTCTGTGAAAAGGCAGAAGGCAGGCACTCTGCAGGCCCGGAGACCAGGACAGAAGGCAAGCCCCATGGTGGAGCAAGGTGGAGACCAAGCAGCCTACCTGGGGCTTGGAACTGGCCTCACACCCCTGAGGACAGGGACTTAAGGCCACCATGGGATGCAGCTGAGGCTACAGGCCATTTCTCAAATGGGAGCTGGAACCAGGCTTCCAGCACGACCACACAGGCTCAGAAGGGGCTGTCTGGTTCCTGAACGGGATGTAGAGATTCTTCCCAGCAGCCTAGAGGAGGAGCCCAGAGAGCAACCAGCCCAGAGCAGGACAAGAGAGCAGAGGGTGCCAGGATGTGATGGATTATAGAATGCATTTGATGAGTTCCAAACTGTATGGAGGGCTTTCCAGGTGGCACTAGTGGTAAAGAACCTACCTGCCAATGCAGGAGATGTAAGAGACACAGGTCAGGAAGATGCCCTAGAGAAGGGCATGGCAACCCACTTCAGTACTCTTACCTGGAGAATCCCATGGACAGAGGAGCCTGGTGGGCTCCAGTCCATGGGGTCGCACAAAGAGCTGGACATAACTGAAGTGACTTAGCAAGCAAGCAAGCAACTGTATGGAGGGCCTGCTGGGTGAGGTGGAAAGTATTAGCTCTAGGCACAAGCTCAGCAGTTGAAAAAGAAAGCAAGGCAAATATTAACTCCAGGAAAAACAAAGGGAAAATCTAAGTAGAGTTCACCACTTGGCTTAAGCAGTGAATGTATTGACAGAGTTATAATAGTGTAAACAACAACTTAGCACATTTGGGGGGAGAAAGGAAGAGAAAGTCAGGCAGGGGCAGGTGGTGTTGGATCAGAGCTGCTCCAGTGACATGTCACAGAGTCCAAAACTTGAAGAAAGGAGCAGCAGGAGCACATAATTCAGAAAAATGGAGAAAAATCAGAGAAGGAACAGCTGAAAGAATTGAGAGAGGCTGAGGCCAGGCCACTGGACCCAGGGTCAGGGGGAGGTGGATCAGTGACCACTACAGACATGTCCAGAGTGTCCTAACCTCTTGGGTTCTTTTTGTTCCTTTCATCTTTGCATCTTTCTTTGATAAGAATTCAAGCAAACAGAGCGGAACTCTAAACTAAAAATAAGTAACAACAAAAAGACATAATCACGTGTTGTTGTTGTTGCTGTTCAGTTGCTCAGTCGTGTTTGACTCTTTGCAACTCCATGGACTGCAGCACAACAGGCTTCCCTGTCCTTCACCATCTCTTTTAGTTTGCTCAAATTCATGTCCATTGAGTCAGTGATGTCATCCAACCATCTTATCCTCACATTCCCCCCCTCAAAATGACACAGTTTGGGACATTTAAGAATACACTGAATAAGTCATCAATTAAAGAAGGAATCAAAATGGAAATCACAAGTTTTCAATTGAAAATCAATGGAACACTTTCAATCATGGGTGCAGCTGACGTAGTGCTCAGACATTTATGGTCCTCAGTTTCTGTGTCAGAAACAAGAAAGTAGTTTTTCCCAAGTGGGGGAACCACAGATATTTTAAATTTCTTCTTCGTGCTCACCTGCATTTTCCGGTTTTCCAAAGAAGCTGCTTCAGTCTTGTTGACCTTCCCTCTCGTTTCTTTTGAATCATTCTGTCTGGGAAAGATTCTCCCCTCCCCCCATGGAACCTTCCGTAGGGTCAGCCTCCTGGCCTGTGTAAGAACTACTCACCCAGGGGCCAAGGGTATGCGTGCCTCACCTGGGTAGTCAGGGGCCAAGGCTTGGGCTGGGTCCCACGTGGGTCTGGCACCCAGTACTCAGCCCAGACCTGCTTCATGGGGGTCAACTGGAGTGGTGCTTGGGAAGGTGAGCTGAGCACTGGGCCACAACAGGGCATGGGAAACGCCAATGGCCATGAGGGTGAGTCCAGCACACCACCGCAGAGGCTGGCAGAGGGTGGGGCTGCCTCCCCTGGAGCCCCAGGTCTTGCCCACCCCCACTGCAGGCAGCAGCCCCAAACCCTGCTCCCACCCAGGAGCTGTCACCATCTTCCTGGAGTGGGGAGGGACGAGTGGGCCCCTTTCCCATGCCAGACTCAGCCACCCAATTGCCCACCCCATGTCCCTGAGGCCCTATCCACTCCCCTCACTGTAGCAGGCCTGGCCCCAGCCTCTGGGCACGTGGCCTCAGCCTGCAGGGTGCTCTGTGGGCACCTGCCCTGCGGCCTCACCCCCGCCCAACAGGACCCTGTCCCCTGAAGCGTCCTGTGCTGCTCCAAGCGGAACGTGCCCCTTGCTGGCCACACCTCACTGATCACAGGGTGGCCGCCTATGGCCTTTAGCCCTGGGCCCTGGGATGAGGGGCCAGGGTGCTGAACTGCAAGGAGCAGGGAGCCAAGCCCTTCAAGGACCCCCTAATGTTCCCTTGCCCAGCAGACACTGCTGAGAGGTGCCAGATGGGCACCAGGGACATGACAGGTGGAAAGGCAGCTCCTTGCCTGCAGGAAGTTTCCCACCAGACACTCCAAAGACTCCGGGACTGAGCTGCCTGCTGTTGGTATCAACAGTAGAGCCTGGTGGTCAGGATGGCCTCTCCAGACCAGTTGCCAGGGCTGTGTGGTACATGCACCTACACTCACAGCTCTGAGGGCTTGATGTCACTTCCTGCATCACGGCAGGGCACACAGAAGCTCTGGAGGCCTGGGGCCTGCGCAGGGCACTGTGTGGGGAGGACCTGGGCACCCAGGTGAGGCCCAGCCGCCCACAGCAGGTGTTGGACGGGGGATCTGATGAGCCGTCCGGGCAGGGGACTACTCTGAGGGCCACTCAGAGACCCCAGGGACCCTCATGGAGCATGGAGCAACAAGGAGCCCCTACCTTAGGACACACCCAGTTGACCTCCCAGCAGCCAGGTAAAGCCTGAGATCCAGAGGGATCCCCGGCCTCTCCCACCTTCACCCCCACATCCCCCAGCACTAGAATAGGTCCTACCTCCTGTCTCCTGGGCCCATGGCCCCTCCAGCTGCCTCCTTCTCACCATCCTTCCTAGCCACACTTCCTAGGAGTAGGATCTGCCTACCCTGAGCTCCCAGCCCTCTCCTAGGTCCTCTGTGTACTGCCCCCCCAGGCCCTGGGGTCGTGTCTTCTAGCTTGTGACCTGCCCTTTCCAGTGAGGAGCAAGCACTCTGGGTACCTATTAGTGGACATCTGATGGAAGTTTCATGGGACAAGGGACCTTCCTCCAGTCCAGGCAACCAGGGGGTCAGAGGTCCACAAGCTGGGTGCTTTGGGAGCTGGTTCCTACTGGGGGGGGCGGGGAGTGGATTGTTCCGGGGCCCTGGACATACCCACTGCGGCTGCTCTGAGCCCCTCCCCTCTGGGCCTGAGGTTGCCTCTCCAGGAGACAGGGTTGCTGGGCTGGCTCTGAGGTTTGGGCCTGTCCCGCAGTGGGTGAGGGATGCTGCACACCCCAGAGGGGAGGGGACACCAAGGGGTGGCAGACCAGGCCTCCAGCAGGGAAGAAAGAACAGGGAGACCACATCCCCCTGGCTGAGCATCTGGGGAAGGGGCTGGAAGACAGAGGGCAGCTGGTGCCCACCCCCATCCAAGGCCCCCCAGACTGCTCCCAGAGAATCTTGGGCACTTAGGGGCCCCTGCTCTGACCACACTCCTATTGGTGCCTGGTGGATGGGGGAGCAGGGTGGATCTCAGTCTGAGAACCCCAGGCCCATCCACAGCACGTGGGCCTGGTCCCTCCCTGGCCCCTCCAGCCCCAGGAGGACCTGTGCCCCGGCTCTGCACCCCAGGCCGGCCAGCAGCCCCCTCCTGCCGCCAGGCCCTGGGCCCCTCTCTCCTCGTAAATCGGAGCCACACTCCGGCCTAAGCAGCACCCCCCCGCCCTCCTGCCGTCATTCCTGGCAGACTCTGCAGTGAGCTCACCCTTACATAAGGCATCTGAGCTATTTCTTGGGGGAACGAGCTCCCCCTGCATGGGGCTCCATTCCCCCCTCGCTTCTGCAGCCATCGACCGCCACCAGCCAAGGGCATCTGGGCACCAGAGGCAAGACCCCTGCACTCCCAGGGCCCCTCCCATGTGGGGAGAGGGTTCCCCAAACCCTGCAGAACAAGGGTGTAAGAGAAGAGACTGAAGGTTCTTCCAGATTTGTTGAGGGGCTGTGGGCAGAGATGCAGCCCCACAGCCAGCCTAGGCGGGAGGGGGAAAAGGAAAGGATTTCCCCAGGGCACAGCGAATGGGGTGGATTGCATTCCCTCTGGGCCTGGGAGTGGCCCACTGCTGTGCTTTCAGCACCCCTACCTGGTGCTCTTGGCCCCTCTGAGAGCACCTGGTTCATCCGTGGGCCCTGAGCCCAACATTTCAGCCAGCACTTGTGTTCTTGGAAGGAGTAGCAATCAGAGTCCCCTTTGGTCAGGACAGAGGACCCCTCCCCACAAAGTGCCACCAGAGCTTCCAGCAGGGCAGCTCTGTTTCCTGGAGGTGGGCACCAGTCCAGGAGCCCCTTGAGGTTGCAGGGTCCTCTCAGGATTCGGGGGAGAAGAGCCCAGGGACCTCAGACCTCCTGCCTCATTTCTGTGTCCTGGGACCATGAGGACACATCAGGCCCCCAGAGGCTGCAGCTGAAGGGGCGTCCAGACAGCATGTGCTGGGTGTCTCGGGAGTCATGCTGGCTCCTGGCCTGGAGAGGAGCAAGACAAGTCCCCTCAGGGAAACTCAGAGAGGGGTGGCCATGGGGCCAGAGGGACCAGACCCACTGCTGCTTCTCCCCTGGGACGCCCCTCCCCCACTCCCCCAGGCCTGGGCAACTGAGCCTTGGGGCTCCATGTGGACTGCTCACTGAGGCCGCTGGGCGTCCCGAGCTCCTGCCTCGAGCTTCCTCTTCCACGGGAAGAGAGGGGAGGAAAGTGGCCGCAGCGATGCCTCCGCCGCCTGGAGAAAGCGGACTCCAGACACTCCCGCCGGAGCCTAGCTGCGCCACGCCCTGCTTGGGGACAAAGCTCTGGGAGGGCGGGCGGCTGGGACCCCAGGACTGCGGGCTGCAGTGGGGCCGAGCCGGAAGCCTCAAGGCCCCTCCTGCAGCTTGCAGCCCCGGGTCTCTGTCCTCCTCAAGAAACAGGGAAGGAGACCGTGTTTTCCTTTCTTTTCAGACTCGCGTTCTTGGAACTTACACCCTCTTGGGTTTGCTATTTTTACCCACCCTGAGCCTTCCGGTCTCCATGGCGACGCCTCCAAACAGCAGATTCCAGGCGGCAATGACGTCACCTGTCCCTTTCCTGCCGCCCAGGCCTCCAGCCGCTGCCACGGGGCCGCCCCGGCCACTCCCCACCTCCCGCCCGGCTGAGCCCCAGAACTGTGGGCCCTGCTGCCTCCCCATGCCTGCTGCCCACCAGCCAGGCCCTTCCCCGGGGCCCCAGGCCTGGGCTCCCTGCCACGCCAGTGCCTGTGGGAGCTGCTGCAACCCTGGCGGCCCAGGAGGCAGGCTTCATTGGCTTTGCCCCTGAAGCCCTTCTGGTGACCATGCTGGGCCATCAGGATGGCAGGAGCATAGGGAGGCCCTATGGCCTGGTCTGATACACACCATCTGTCACACTGCCCCCCTGCTTCAGGGTTGCTGCCTCCCCCATCCCCAGTGCGTGGTCTGCGGGTCTCAGGCTCCACACCTTGGGCCTAGTCTGACTGCAGGATTGGGGGGCCATGGTCCCTCCTCCTGGCCGAGGTGTCCTGTAGTTGGTCACTAGGCTGTGTCTCTCTCTGGGCCACACTTTACCCAACTGTCCCTTCAACACTCAGCCTGAGGGCTGCCCTCAGCCCAGACCGATGGTGGGGGCACTCAGGACTGGAGGCCCACCCCGCTCCTGCGGACTCAGACATTTGCCAAAAGGCCCGCGACATCTCAGCAGGGCCTTGCAGAATGGACAGGCAAGGCTTGGAGAGCCCACATTTCCTATGTCCTTGCCACAGTCAGAAGGAGCTTTTCCTTCCACGGAGGAGCCTGGAGGGACAGCCCTGGACCTGCAGAGGGTCTGCTCCTCCCATCACCCCACAGGGCCCGGGGCCAAAGTAACCCAGCCCCACCCCCACCAGCCTCAGTCAGAAAGCAGATGCTAGGTCTGGGGCCAAAGGGAGGGCAGGCAGTCAGGGTTGCTCTGTGAGGGTCAGAGGTGCTGGCATGGGCCAGGCCAAGGGTCGTGGTCACATGCTGTCCTGCCAGCATCTAGAAGGGCAGAGAAGACACTGGGGGTAGCTGTGAGCTGCCATGTCTGCTCCCAGAAACGACAGACACGGCAGGAAGGTAGTTTCAAGACTCACATTCCTGCCCTCCCGCTGGATTTCAGGTGCGAAGTCCCAACTCGCCCCCGTCCACACCGGCAGGCACACTCGCAGGTCTGGGCAGGAGGCAGGCAGGTGGGCGGCCCTGTCTCCAGAGCCCCACAAGGACTCGTGCACAAAGGTGTGCAGAGAACTTTCAGGGGGCACAGGTGGGCCTTCCACAGCTCCCCCAGGGGCCTCCCCATCCTGAGGCTGGGTCCCTGGAAGGGCTCAGGCCTTGAGGAGGCCCCTCGAGAGTGGGCTTAGGCTGGTGCAGACCCAGGCACTGGGTTCTGGGTGCCTGGATCCACTCTGCTCCCTGAGTGGAGGTGGCTCCAGCAGGAGGGACGTGTGGCTTTGTCCAGTTAAGCACCCACCCCTGCAAGCTCCACAGGAGACACAGGTCTGAGGGGCTTTGGACAGTGAGGGGTGGGGGGCAGGCTTCATGCTACAAGTGTGAAGATTAAGGATGAAAGGCCTGTGGCCCTGGAACACATCAGGGGCAGCCCCACTATTACCACAGGTGACTGCGTGGAGTCTGTTCTTCTACTCTCTTCCTTGGTTTTGTTTTTGTTTTTAATATTTTATTTTATTTTATTGGTTACTCTACATGGCTTGAGGGATCTCAGTTGCTTGGTCAGGGTTTCCAGGTAGTAAAGCCAGGAATCCTAACCATTAGGCTACCAAGCAGCTCCCTCCCACAGGGTTTTATGTGGTGGCTCAGACTTCCGGGACAGCCACGGCCCTGCGTTTCCTTTACACCCTGCGGGCCTCTCACAGGGAGCCCTGATCGGAGTTCTTGGACCCTAAGCTGAGATTCAAGTGCGGGCCGGGGGCTCTGGCCCTGAGAGGCGATGTGTGGCTGTGGATGAGACCCCCATACCAGGCATGACTGTGGAATCGGTCTCCCCCACCAGGTTTATCAAGGGCCAAACTGTGATATGCATGTCGACAAGCAGAAAGGAATTCCTGTTCTCAAGTGCTTCTGTTTTCATGGGAGACAATGAAAAATGAAACTTCCACATGTTCTATATTAGTCGGGGGCATATGCTTTTAAGAACAGACCAGGGGGAGGTGGGTGGGGTACGAAGCGAGGGGGATAGTGTTCCTCATGAGGTTCACAGGCACTGTGATGGGTAAGAGGTGAGTGCAGGGCATAGTAGGTGCAAAGGCCCTGAGGCTGGGTGCGGTCAGATCCCATTGGGGTCCACGCGGAGAGTGGAGCAGGTGGTGAGGGGAGGTTGGCCCTGGTGACTCCCCCAGCTTTGCGGCCCCCAGAGGATGGCAGTCTGGGGGACCCTGCTCCGAGCCAGCTGCGGAGGACCCCAGAGCCACAGCCCATCACTGGTAGGTGGATGGAGAAGCTGCCAGAGGAAGCAGCTGGTTCTTCCCCAGAGGAGGAGGGGTCCAGCCACCAGACCCCAGTTCCTCTACTTTGCTGCTGGGAAGAACGGAGGGCCAGGAAAGGGGTTGATTTGAAAGAGACAGGCTATTCTTCAGAGCACTTTGTTCCTAGTCCCGCCCCCAGCCTGGCACAGGGCAGGAGCCACCGACCAGGAGGAAAGCCATTGCCCAGCCCAGTCCAAGCCCCTCTCGGTCCCTGGGTGGCCCCTCCACGCCCTGCCCTGCCCAGGGACCCACTGCCCGCTCTCCTGCCTGCTCTGGGCACAGTGCAGGGGTTAAGGAAACAGCCCCTTCAAAGGGCGAGGCTGAGGCTGGCGGGCTTCTGGCTGCCACCCCAGCCCCACCCCCAGCACCCACAGACGCCACAGGCCTGGCACTGGCCTCTGCCCAGCACCTTCCCCAGACCGGTCCACCTCCAGGCCAGCACTGCCCAGCGGGCTTGCATCTCAGTGAGTAATATTTAACTTGGACGAGCCGGTGGACAACTGCAGGGGAGACATTCACAACAAGTTTGGATTGCATCTGCTTGCCAGGAAGGAGTGGGGGAAGGGGAGTGAGGGCAAAGTTGAGAGGAAGAAAGGAGGGCAGGAGGCGGGCCTGAGACCAGCACCCCAGGGAGGCTCCCAGGAGGGGCCCAGCACCGCCCAGCACACCGGGCAGCCCCTCAGCTTTGGCCTCCCTCCCCGCAGGAAGCACCTCATTCAGGGTGAGCCTTGGACTCAGCTCTGGGGCAGAGAACACAAGACGTACGCATGCAGTCACCCACATATACCCACACACACAGAGACCCATACACACACACACAGACCCATACACACACATACACAGACACAGAGAGCCATACACACATACAAACACTCAGATCCACATGCAGAGCTTGTGGTTTTGAGCGGAATGGCCTGCCTGCAGCGCTGATGCTTCAGCACAAGATGGAAAAACCCTCAGGCAGGAGCACAACCGAGGTCCAGCTGGCTGGGAGGGCAGGCAGGCCAGGGCCCTCCTGAGGTCTATGCACACAGAATTGACCACCCAGTGCCCAGCTGGGCAGGGCCCCACTAATGCGCCCTCCTTTCCCCTGGGAAACGTGGCCACTTTCTGGCAGTGGCTGCCCCAGAGAGTTTGGGAACACAGAACCTCTCCTGGTTCCAGGTGTCCACCCATCCACTCCTAAGAAGGCAAAGGGGACCCTGGGAGGGCCTACTCTGGAGGACCAAGGAGAGAGGCCCTGGCTCCCTCGTCTAGGGGACAGGTCACCCTGGGTCTCCAAGCCACATGGGGCCCACTCACCTCGACCAGGACCCGGCCCTGTCAGCAGTCCTTAAGTCTGGGGCTGCTCCATCATGCCAGGTAAAAAGCTGCCTCCATTCTGGAATGTAGCAATCAAAGTTCTCAGTTTCTTTTCCATAAGCATGTATTTCCTGGGGAGAAACACACTCCTCTCCAACCATGTAGTTTGTCCTGTCTACCCCTGGGGCACTGGGGGCCTGTATCATAAAACCCTGTACTCCACCTAGAGAACAGTCCACCAGCGCTGGCTGGGTGGGCATCTGGCAGCTGGTGGAGTGGGGTGCCTTGCCCAGGGGAGGGACCCTCACCAAGTCACACCATCTGGTGGAAGCACTCAGAGCGCTGCTTTCCCACTTCTGGTATCTGCGCTTGGCTCTCCAACTTTTCTTTCACTGGTGAAACTGTTTCATTTTGAACTTCCTCTTGGGAGTCAGAGTCCGGCCTTGACAGCAGCATCTCTGTCTGAGCGTTTGGACTCATGGCCTGGCTGGCGGGCTTGGCAAGGAGCCTGGACAGCGTGAGGATCTTCCCTGCAGAGCGTGTGTTTGACGGTGCTGTGCGGGCCTGCAGGGGGACTCAGGTCTCTGGGACAAGAGACCTTGCTTCCCAGGAGGAAGCTGGGCCATCACCTACTGTCTGCAGGCAGGCCCGCAAGGGAATCCATAGGGGCGCCTGTTCCTCCCCTATCCCAGAGGGTACCTGTGATGAAAGCACCTAGAACGTGGCCGCAGGGTGTCTGAGAGCCACACAGATGCTGGGGCCTGAACGCTTGAGGCCCCCAAATTCCTATGTTGAGACCTAACCCCAGTCGGGGAGGTAGGGCCTCTGGGAAGTGTCTGGGTCTCGAGGGTGGGACCCTCAGTAGCAGAATTAGCGCCCTCACAGCTGTGCCCTACCCCATGAGGAACAGGACCTGGATGTGGGCCTCACCAGAACCCAACCATGCTGGCACCCAACCTCAGACTGCCAGCCTCCAGGACCAAGAGAGAAATCTATGCTCTCTGCTGCCGCCATCTGTGGTATCTTGTTACAATAGCCCAAACAGAATAAGACACTGGGCATCTCTGTCCCTGCCAGTGGGCATCAGATCTCAGGCCAGGCTGAAAGGAAACAGGGAAACTGAGGCCCGTGGTCACTCATCTTCCCTGCCTGGAGGGTGTTTCCAAGGTGTGGGGCCCAGGCCAGCCCACAGGTGAGGGACAGAAGGCAGGCCTTGAGGGGGCTCTTGCTGCCCATCTCAGTGTTCTCCGGCACCCTGATGTGGTATCTGGGGGGCAGTCAGGAGAGTCTCAGACTTCCCAGGTGGCACTAGTGGTAAAGAACTTGCCTGCCAATGCAAGAGATGTAAGAGATGCAGGTTCGATCCCTGGGTCAGGAAGATACCCTAGGAGTGAGCATGGCAATCCACTCTAGTATTTTTGCCTGGAGAATCCTATGGACAGAGGAGCCTGGCATGCCACAGTCCATAGGGTCGCAGAGAGTCGGACATGCCTGAAGTGACAGCACACATGCTCATAGGAGAGCCTCCTTGGAGCCTGCGGCCCTGACATGTCAGAAGGAGCCTGGATCTCCACCACGGGCTCCAGTGGGCACCTGGCAGGGGCTCGTGTGCACAGGCACCTTCCCAGGAGGCAGCCATATATCAGCTGGGCTCCTGGAGTTGTACTCTGAATGCAAAGGCCCAGTGTAAAGAGAAGAATGTGTGAAAACATACTAATAATTTACATATGATTCCATGTTGAAAGGCAGTATTTTAGATACGTTGGGTTAAAATGAAATATATTTTTATGGTTAATTTCTGTCTCCTTTTCCCTTTTCAGAGATGGCTGCTCTAATTTTGAGTGATCCAAAAGGAGGAGCAGGCAGACAGATGAAGGCTGGGAGGGAGAGGGCAGGTTGGAGAAGGGCACGGGGAGCAAGTTGGAGACAACTGACTGCAGCCCAGGGACAGCACTGGGAGCAGGAGCTGAGGACCTGGCGAGGTCCATGCCATTTGGGTTGATTCATAGGGTCCCATGGTGCAGGGTGCCCTGGGAAGCTTTGTGCAGGCCCATCGCCCACTACTGCCTGAAGTCCTGGGTGGCCCCAGGTCTCAACCGCATCCTCCCTGCCCACCTGGCCAGCCACTCTCATCACGTGGGGAGGAAAATTTGCTATTCCAGGGGACCGACTTCTCCAGGGCACCTAGTGGGGAACGGCTCCCCCAAAGGAGGTGGTGGTTCAGGAGATTTGGGGCAGTCTTTATTAACTGAGGGGCAGGCCAGGTGTCCAGGCCTGGGGACACCAGAGGGACACTGGCCACATACACCACCTGCAGGTCAGCAGACCCTGGCAGTTGGGGTGGCTGCATGTGGGCAGTCGGGTGGGTAATCCTCTCCCCAAGGGCCTCAGTGGGCCTCTCCCAGCTCAGGAACAGCCTGTGGGACAAATGGGCACCCAGGATGGAAGGAGTTGGCTTCACTGTCTGCCTGTTAGTGGCCTGGGTCTCCCAGGCCAGAGAAGCTGCCCCTTGTCCCCCTGCAGTGCTGGGAGCACCTGTACCACTTTCACCCCCGAGGTGGCCACTCAGGGGCAACGAGTCAGCAAGGCCACCAGCCAGGCAGCAGCACAGAAGACTTGGGCTCAAGTCCCCGCTCAGAGCTCAGGGCTCATCAGCACAGCTGATGATGGGGGCTGGCAGCCGGGACAGGCACGGCACCTCTGACATAGGGTGGGTACCCCTAGAAGTGAGCCCTGAACTGGGCTGCCTGTGGGCCAGGTGTGGGGGAAGCAGCTCAGGGAGGCCACTCAGCTGCCAGTCCAGTCCAGTAGCTTCCACAGCTGTGGCCCTGATGCGGCCCCAAGCCCTGCATCTTGGTGGTCCTGAGCCATCAGGGACCTGCCTCACCTCCCCTCCTGAGTGGGTGGACAGTCAATGCTGGGCTGAGCTCAGAGGAGGACTGTGTGGGCTCAGTTGGCCCCAGAAAGGGGTACCCACGTGGGCCGGGGCTGCCAGGAAGGCTGGCCCAGCTGTACCCAGCCCAAGTAGGGTGACCAGTGATGTGGTCGGGAGGGCTTGGCCACAGAGGGCCCCTGGTTGCTCCCAAGGGAGAAGAAGGACGTGGCGGGGGAGGAGGAGTCTCCACCCTTTCTCCAGAGCCTATTGAACCCCTAGAAGGCCCTCACCACCCCAACTGGGGGCCCAGTCATGTTGGGGACAGGGGTACCGCTCTCTCGGCAGGTGGGCACAGCAGCTCAGGAAGGTGGAGAGTGGCCCAACACAAGTGCCCTGTCCCTGCCTCCTGGTTCCCACCCCCACCCTTCTTCTCAGCAGCCAGATGGGCCTGAAGGTGCCTCGGTACTGAGCAGGGCCTGCTCTCTCCCTAAGCTTCTGCCCCGGGAACCCTCCCTCCCTCCTGCTAACATCCCACTCAGGCCCTGTGGAATGGCCGAGGGGGTGGAGGCCCCAGGAGGAGGAGGAGGGGAGATGGAGGCCCTAGGAGCAGAGGGCAGGCTGGTCTCAGTGGCCGAGGAGGCTTAGGCAGGAGGGGGGCTGCCTGGGTGGTACCTACTGGCCATCTGGCTTGACTCCAGCCATGTCCTGCTTGGCCCCACCTTGGGCTTCAGGCCGGAGTGAAGCCTGTTCAGAGAAGTGACTCACAGGGCCGCAGCCACGGTTCTCACTGGCTGGACAGTCCACTGCAGGCTTCAAAAGGGACACTCAGGACCTGGGCTTCCCTCTGACCTGGGGGGTTGCCAGGCCCCTGGGGGCCGTGTGGCAGCTGAGGCTGGAGCAGCCCAGTACCCAGGGCAATGGGAGGTGGGACCTCAGGGTCCTGCTTCCTGCCTCCTGGATGGTTAGGCCAAGGAGTCTCAGGTCAGAGAGCTGGCTTCACCCCCTCCTGCCCCCCACCTCCAGACCAGACACAGACAGCCATGCCCTGACCAGCTGCTGCCCCAAACCTGGCAGTGGAAAGAAGAGACACAGGTCCTCTGCCAGGGGCTAGCGTCTCTTGCAGAGTCTCAGGCTGTGACTCATGACCTGTGGTTGCTGCTGGGACCTCTGGTGGCTAAAGGCTGGGGTCCCTGTGAAACTCAGAAGCAGGTTAAATAACTCCAGGTGCACAGCCACTTGTGGTGGGGGGCCCCCAACACACCCCTACCCATTGGCCTGCCAGGGAGGCCAAACAACCGTCTGCTGACCCCTGACCTAGCCTCTGAATCCATACGAGGAGGGGCTAAAGCCTTTGTGCCCTTGTGAAAAGAGGAGGGGGGCTGGTGGGGGAGGGGAAGGGAGGAGGAGCGGGAGGAGGGGGAGCAGGGAGAGGATGCAGCTGAGCCCAGCAGCACCTCTGGGGGGATGCCCAGCCCTGCCCAAGACGGCCCTGCCCTGAGAGGCCCCCGGGGAGGGGCTCGGAGCTTTCCATGTCAGGCCCCCTGCAAGGGAGATCAGAGATGACTTCCACAGAAATGGGGGAGGGGGGTGATGCAGTGGGGGCCTAGAAGGCCAGGCTCCGGCCAACAGATCAGCTGTAAGCAGGTGAGAGGCCACTGCATTGAGGAGCCAGGCCACTCCCGGGTCTCCATCTGGAGAGGCCGCCATCTCTAGGAGGCGGAGGGGGAGGGGAGAGGCAGGGGGAGGGGAAAGGAGGGGGAGAGGCGGGGCGGTGGAGGGGAAGGGAGGGTCCTGCCCCATCCTGGACCCGGCCTTCTCCCCAGGACACTTGCAGAGCTGGCTCTCCTCAGGCCATGTTCTCGGCCACAGGACAGCAGGTTCCCCCGTCCGGGGGATGCTGATGGGACCCTGGGCGAGAGAGGACACCCTGCTGCCCCCTCCTCCTCTGCATTCGGGGTCTTCAAGCCGAAAGTGGTGCTGACAGTTTGGAGAGTCCCCGCGTCCGAGTCCAGTGGCTGCTGCACAAATGACCGGCTGGGGGCCTCAGCGACGGGGTCCACCCTCACACTCTGGAGGCCAGAATTCCACACTCAGGGTGTTGCTGGGGCCCCAGACCCCTGGAGGCACTGGGGAGGACCACCTCCGGCCTTCTGCTGCTCCGTGTTCCTAGGTTTGTTGCCGCACCCCTCCGCCCGCTGCCTCCACTGCTGCCTGGCTGGTCTCTATGTGGCTGTGTCCAGCCACACATCTTCATGCAAGGACACCAGTCGCCCTGGACTCAGGGCCCACCCTGACCCAGCACGGCACTGTCTGAACCCTATTCCAGCTGCAAATACTCCATTTCCAGCAAAGTCACACTCTCACGTTCCCAGGGACACTGTTCGGCCCAGTAGCCTCAAGGCTTGGTCTCTGCCGGACCGACGTTCTCCACAGGAGCTAAGGTGGTGACCCTGCTGGCTCCCACGCCCCCTCCTCTGGGCCCGGCACTCCTGAAGCTTGGGGACACCGTGGGAAGGACATGGCACTCTGGCCCCATGAGTCCCACTGGGGGGCAGGAGAACCCAGCCAGGCGATGGGGTTGGGGAGGGTCAGGAGGGCTTCTCTGCAGGCAGGCCCCAGAGGAGAGCCTGGGGGTCAGTAGGAGTGGAGATGCAGGGATAGAGACGGGGCCGGGAGCACAGGGCAGCAGCAGAGGAGGGTGTTGGGGCAGGAGCTGTGGGGACCTCAGGGAGGATGAGGTTCGCTATGCATTCTGGGAGAGGGTGGCTGTCCAGGCGAGAGGTGGTAGCCAGTGTGGACTCCTGGTCACAGGCCACCATCTCTTCCTCGCTGCCCCCTGACTGCCTCGCGACTTTCAGGCTCTTGAAGTGGGGGCTGGAGGCCCAGCTGGTCCTTGGCTTTAGCCTGCTGTCAGAGGCGGCTCCTGGCTACAGAGCCTACCCACTCCCCTGCAGCTGTGACATGGGGCCTTGAGGAAGCCGTGGTGCCCTCACTTCCACAAGGGTGAGTGGGCCCTGAGCGCTCTCTCTGCTGCCCGGTGGATCCTTCGATGTTTCCCAGGCAACTGTTTCAACCCAGCCTGTTTGCCTGGAGCTCCGCATGCCCACGAACGCCACCACCTGGCTCCAGGCCAGTTTGCCCGCTTGGCACCCACAGGCCAGCAGGTGTGGCCACCTGGGAAAGCTGGGCTCCAGCTCTCAAGGCCGGGCTGGGCGGCGCAGGCACCAACAGGGCACCCACATGGAATACAGGAGCCCAGTCCCCACTTCCACTTGGCAGTAGGAGGCTGCCGCTGCTGCCACAGGGCTGGTTGTGCCCGCCAGCCTCAGGCCCTACTCTGCCTGCCTGCGCCGTCTTGACCCCACTTGCCAGGTGCCCTGATGGCAGAACTGGCCCTCAAGCAACCAAAGGAGGGTATGGGGAAGCCAAGTGGGGCTCGGACCTCGCCAGCCAGCTGGGGCCCAGCCGACAGGTCTTACCCTGCCGGGCTGCCTCGGGGTTGGAGGCCTTGTTGTGGGTCAGTCAATGGCAAGACCCACTCCATGGAGAGGAGGACAGAGAGGAGTCACCAGGCTCCGAGGATACCAGGAGCCCAGACATTTGTGGCTCCTGGTTGTCGGAAGGTGCTGGAGAGGTCTGGACCCTGAGCAGCTGGCAGCAGATGGCACCCTGATTCTGGGAGGAAAGGGGAGAGGGGACTTGGTTCGCCATCACAGATGAAGCCAGAGCACCAGAGGGTGGCAGTCTCTCAGCTGGGCCTTGCCTGTGACTGCAGGGTGGGGTTGTCACCCCTCACCCCCGCCCACTGGAGCCCTTTCTGCTTCATTGGAGGGGTGCCTCCTTCAGAACGCTGAAACATTCTCTGTAAACATGAATTTGGCTTGTAAAAATCTCATTTCCGTAGTACAGCATTGGTCCCAATCAGAAATTATTTCCCAGTAAAGCCCATGGCCCCTCACTGCAGCAGATGGCTCAGAAAACGGGAGCCTTTTAATCAAGTTCATCTTACTTCCTCCAGCCCCCCTCCTGGCACTGCATCTTGCTTATAGCGCCCGGACAGCTGGGACAAGGTAGTCTCCTTCCACCTCCAGAAGGTCCCCATGCAGGCTGGGCAGGCGGCGGGCAGCTGTCAGGAGAGCGCCGGCCGAGGGGCTAGGACTCCTGCCGGGGCCGGCACCTGCCGTGTGCTTGGCACAGGGGTCACCCCAGCTCTGTTCTTGGTGGAAGTGTCCCAGGCTGGAGGTCCCGGTGATGATGGGGGAGTTAATCCCCAGCAGCCGGATGAAACCAGAGAGGAGAAGCCCCCGGAGACAGCCTCGACATGTCGCTCTGGCTCTGTCATCCCCACATGCAGGCCCTGAGGGCCTCCATTCTGCCCCTTCCAGCAGCCCAGGGTAAAGGAGACCCCTGGGGTGGTTAAGGCCAAAGGAGAGTGGGTGCCCGCTCACCTCGTGCTGAAGGCTGGAGCCAGGCTCAGCCAGCCCCTGGCAGCTCCCAGGACCTGCACCTTCTTGGGGCACCTGCCCTCAGGCCTCCCTGTTGTCTTGGGTCCACCTGAGACCCTCCTGGCTCCTGCCTCAAGCTACCCTTCCTGGGTCTGGGAGCTGGCAGTGCGAGGTCCTTAGAGGAAGTGGCCGGGACGCTGAAGACCCCAGGGTTCCTGTTGTGGGGATTAGCCACTTACAGAGATGTCTCCACACAGCTTCCCAGCATGCCCTGAGAGCTGGGCACAGGCTGGCTGTCTGAGGCCTGGTAGGTCCTGCTTACCTTGGGGAGGACTGGTGCTCCTCCTGGGAGTCTCCAGGAGGGCATGCAGATACACAGTGACGTTTCCAGGAACAGCTCTGAAGCAGTGGAGACTGAAGCCAGGGAGAGGGTAGGTGGGCTGTGGCTGGGGATCACAGACGCGAGCCATTTGGGGGTCCTCAGTCAACCAGTCCCTGAGACATTCCAGGCCCGCCTGTGAATCCCCTCACCTGGGCTTCTCTCACCTGGAAAAGTGGCAGGTCACCTCCTCTGGGGCCCCGAGACCACCCACTGTAGCAGTACCCTTGTTTAGACACGCATAGGCTGTCTCCCAGGAGCTGGCAGGCTCCAGGTGAGAGCTCTGTCTCATTCGCTCCCCCAGGCGTCTTCAGCTTCTAGACTAGTCCCTGGCCCAGGAGAGTCCACTCTGCTCTGGAGGTCTGCGTGGCAGCTGGATGGAGGTCACTTGGGTGGCCTCAGCTTGGGGACTGGGGTGCCCAGGGGCTGGAGTGTGCCACATAGGGGGTGGAAAAGGCAGTCTGTGATGTGAAGAGGGGCGGAGGTGAGGAGGCTATGGTAGCTCCTGCAGAAGGGGGTGCAGAACAGAGTGCCCGAAGCTGTGGGGCTGGGGAGGAGCCAGGGAGAGCCCATGACCACGGCGGCATCTGCCTGTGGCCTGGAGAGGAGCCGGCTGCCACCCAGTACCCCCTGCACCTCTCAGCCCTGGTGGGACCCCAGGGCACCGACTGCACCAGCGGAACGGACAAGGGTGGCTGGGCGTCTGCTGCCACCAAGCGGCAGATTGCAAGGTCGCTGGCTCAGAGAGTGCCCGGGGTCCACGGTGTCCAGGAAGCCCCTCGCAGGCCCTCCGAGGACCCGGGTCCTGGTCTTCTCACTTCTCCGTCTCTTAATTAAGGAAACTAGGCTCTTCCCTCCTGTAAGGAAACGCGGACGTCCTGGAAACGATCTCCCAGGCTCAGGATTGTCCAGGCAGAGGAAGGGGGCAGAGTCAGGACCAGCGGCGGGTGGGGACGCCAGGGCCCCCCGCCTCCTTCCTGCCCAGTTCCTCCTCCTCGGAGGTCTCTGCAGACCCGGGCCTAAGGGGTGAGGGCGGCAACCCCTGGCTCAGCTGGAAAATGGCTCCCTCAGGGCAAGGCAGCCTCGCGACCTCAGTCCTGCCTCCGCGGGGGAAGGAGCAACCCTGGCCTCCGTCCACCTCCCTCCGATACTGCCACAAGAGGGGGGTCACCCCACGGTCTGGGGGTCGAGTCCAGCGCCCCGGTGGGAGTGAGAGTTTGGGTCCACAGAGGTCTTCGGGCGGTGGTGGGGCATTGAAGATAGGGCCCCCGGGACCGGTCTTATCTGGGCGGGGCTGCCCGGGGCGGGGTCCTGGGGGGTGTGTGTGTTGTTGTGGGCGGGGTCTGTGTCGGGGGCGGGGTCTGGCGCGCCGGCCGCTCATATCCGCCGGACGCGCGGCGTTTGGGCGGATGGAGGCTACGCGGAGGTCGCGGCTGAGTCTGAGCCGCCGGAAGCCCCCCTCGGGGGCCAGGTGAGGTCGGGGCTGGGGCTGGGGACGGCGCGGGGCTGGGGGCGGGAAGCGTCCCGGGTGGGGCCTCGTATCCGCGGCCAAGTGGTAGCCGGGTGTCACGCCCCCACGTACTCCCTGGAACCCGCCTCGATCTCGCCCCGTCAGCCCTCCTCCCACCCCACTCCCGCCCAGCTGCAGAGCTGCACCCCTAGTCTCTCCCCGCTGAGTCCTCCTTTCTGTTCCCCGAGGGCCCCGCTCCCCGCTTCCCCCGCGCTGAGTTATTATGCCCACCCTCGCCGCCCCAGGCCTCCGAGCAATCCCCCCGGGTCCCTCCCGGACGGCAGCGAGTGCGCGAAGCTGTGGACTCAGTTGCTGCGCACCGCAGGCGCAGACCTGAACGTGAACGGCGAGCTGCCGCCGCTGCCCGCCTTCCCCGGCCAGGTGCGTGTGCAGTGGCCCCCGCGTGGCCCCGGGTCTCCAGCTGGGCCAGGGCGGGAAGGCGGGCGCGGTCCGACGACCTCTTCTTGCAGGAGCCCAGCCGCAGCCCTGAGCGCCCGCCGCCGGAAAGATTCACCGTGGGAACCGAGACCTTCTTCTGGACGCCTTTCCCGCCGCCCCCGCCGGGGAGAGGCGGGGACTCGGGCGGCTCCGACCTTGTGCTCAGCGCGGTCCGGGGGCGCACGGGGCCCCCCCCAAAACACCCAGCGCCCCAGCTCCGCGGAACCCCCAGCGCTGAGGAGCAGCCGTCGGAGGAGCAGCCCTCCCAGCGACAGCCGTCCGTGGACGCGGCGACAACCCTGCAGAGCTGTCCCATGTGCCAAGTCGACTTCGCCCCCGGGTGAGTGGCCCCCTGGGCCTCCCTCCCCTCCACTGCCACCCCGTGGTGGCCCCTGCCCTGTTTGGAAACCACAGGCAGTTTCTGAAGGCTAGGGTACCTGAGCTCAACTTTGGCTTTTTTTAAAGTGAAATTTCATGCATAGAAAGTTGGCAAAGTGCAGAGGTGGTGCTGATCAGCCAGAGGGCACAGGGCTGGGTTTGAAGGTCCCCCTGCAGGTACACAGGGCCTGGGGCCCTGCTGACAGGCTGCAGCCTCTCAGATGTGGCCCCTATAGTGGGAGGGCAGGGAGGCTCTGGCTCTAATGGGGTCCACACTGACATCTGGGAACGTGGTGGTGACTGGCATTCTCTGGTGAGACTGCCTCCAGGGCCAGTTTGGGCTGTGGGTCACAGAGCAGTTTTTGTCATGGTCCCTCTGGCAACCTTCCCCGTGGGTGGACTGCCGATTTTAGAAATGAAGACTTTGTTTCAGTGTCTAGAGATGCCTTTTTTTGTTTTAGAAATCCAACATATATGCATTTTTTAAAATAAGGTGATGGAATTTGACTTTGCTAAGAAGTCCCACCTCCCCAGCTTTTGAGCCACGTGTCACATAGCTAAGGACACAGGCATGGGGATCGTGGGGGTCAGGACAGCAGGAAGGAGCTTGGTCGGATGTAGGGGGTAGATGGCAGGTTTTAGTAGCTGGTCTTACTCTGTGTGTCCTGTGGCCTGAAGACTGTGTTGAATTATGTGCCTCATCCCTGGTTTTTTGGAAACAAAACCAGCCTAGTGGTGAAGGGAATGGCAGCTGATGACAAAAAGTTATCAAAACAGTTAGCAAAATGTGCAGCACAGACTGCAGAGGGGAGAAGAAACACGGTCTGCATTCAGATATCCAGGCTCCTCTAATGGTGATGTTTTATAGGAACCAAGCCTTTGAGAGCTTGGACAGCTCAGTGTGCAGGGAGCGAGGGCAGGGGGGTGACTGTCCCCAGGAGGACCTGTGGTGAAACCCCCCAGTAGGCACAGGTCTGGCGTGGTGGGAGGGCAGGTGTGGCGGCTGCGCTGAGATGCCTGTGCTCTGGAGAATTTGTAAAACGTCCTCAGACCCAGCGTTTCACCGAACACACCTCTTGTCCCATATTGAGGCTCTTGGATGGTTGTGGGCTGAAGGCACCAGCTCCCTTGCCCGTCCTGAGGAAGCCGTGAACACTTTTGAAAATACTAAGTCCCCTTGATTCGTACAAGTTGAGAGAAACCCAGGGACAGAAATATCATTGGAAGCCCTGGAGGGAAATTCATTTTCTTGGCAGAAGATGCCCTTGAAGCTTCCTGAAACTGTCAGGGCACCCCACCCCTGCCTCTCTGTTGTAGGGGCAGCTTTTGTTTTTGGATCGCTTGCTTTTCTTAATGTCTAAGAAGGAGTTCCTAAAACTTTGGAAGTATGTTGGAAAGAAAGTTCCAGTCTGAGCTCTTTGAGCAGTCAGATTAAGGCTTGGCAGAGTGCCTCAGTGTAGGTGTTGGTGTGGGCAGTCCAGGTCTCCATGCGACTGGAGTGCTTCTTACACGTTCTTCCCTTTGATTAAGGAGAGCGTGCCCTGGCCAGGCCCCACCCTAAGGCTGCAGAGTGACTTGGGGACCCCCCCTCCTTGGGGACAGGCCAGGGCACAAGGGAGCCGAAATGAGTCTTGTGTCTAGAAACGTTTGCTTTCAGGATTCTGGGCAATGTTTGTGACCAGAGGTGGAAGCCTTGCCACCTTCTGAGCAGCAGGGTGAGGCGAGTGGGAGGTGGGCTGCTTGTCTGCAGGAGGCACGGGCAGCCTGGGCGCTTTGGGCAGCCTAGTGCTTCCAGGTCACTCAGAACTGGTGGTTCTCTGAGCTTCCTCTCTGACCCAAGGGCTGTCACGTGGTGGATTCCACAGACTGCATGTGAGCACCCCTCCAGGTCCCTGTACCACGAGCTCCGGCGTGGTCAGGAAGACTGGCTCCACCTGCCACTTTAGACATGAGATGGGTGCCTGCATTTTCCCGAGACCCAGGTCGGCCCATAGGGTCTCACTGGTCCCTAGGCCCCTTGCACTGCTGGGTGTCCTGGAGGGTCTGGACCATCAGTCCACGCAGTAGGCTTTGGGCTCGAGTGGGATCCACCTCAGAGCGCTCGTTGAGGGGGTTCTGAGGAAAGCCCAGACAGTGCTCCCCACTGAGAGACGGCACAGGCAACGTCCAGACCCTCATGGGCCATCCTCTCCCTAGCAGGGCCGAGTCTGGCCAGAGGTGTACGCCCACCCTCATAGTGACAGCTCTCTGAGGCGCCACCCTTCACACCCTGTCTTTTCCCAGTGGCCTTCAGAGGAGGGAAGGGTCGCCTGGGGCACGTGTGGAGGCAGAAACACCCAGAGAGTTTGTCTGATTGATGAGATAGAGCTTCTGCCTGGGAGGGGGTGGGGAAGACCCCGACGTCCATCTTGGGGCCGATTCTGCTGAGCCCACCCACACCCTTCACCCGCAGGTGGGTTCTTGGGGTTTTTCAGACACAGGGTCCCAGCGCTCAGATGTAGGCACTTGACGAGTCTGGTGCCCTGGGGACCTTGGACCCAGGAACAGGGTCTGAAAAGGCCCTTTTTCATTGGGGGGGACCCCTGCCCCCTGTTCTGCCAGCCGAGGGCACCGTCCCAGGTTTTCATGTAGTCAGCTCCCAGGAGGGGCATGAAAGTGCAAGACACATACTCTGACTGGGCGCCCTCCCTGCCCATGACCCTCCCCTCTCCTCTGCTCATAGGCTGGCGCAGCTGGATGTTGACAGCCACCTGGCCCAGTGCCTGGCAGACAGCACGGACGACATAGAGTGGTGAGCAGCCTGGCCAGTGCCTCCCCTGCCCTGGCTGGGCCACCTCCTCTCTGCTGTGTCCCCAAAAGCTGCATATTAAAGTGCCTTGGTGTGAAGTGCTCATGTCCCATCTCTTTGTGTTGATACTGAAACATTGAGTCCTTTTTCTTTTTTTGCTGATGCTGAGCGATGTGATGACTGAGGTGGACAGAGCCACCCAGCAGACGGACCAACCCACTGGGACCAACCCCAGTGTCACTAGCACTGTATTTGAACTCAGGGTGGCTTGGGAATGGACACTTTGCTGACTCCGTGAACTTGACTTGGGCTTCATGACCATGTTTGAATCCCCAGGTAAACCTGCTCCTGCAGCTGCAGGGATGCAGAGCAGCCCCTGGAATTTGCGGAGAGGGATCAGGTCCGTCTGCTGACGTCCTGTGTGAGCTTTGTCTCAGTGGCCCTGTGCAGGGGGGACTTCTCTCCTGTGCCTTCAGTCCACAGGTTCTGGAAGAGCCTCATCTCCAGCTCAGCCATGGCTGCAAAAGTCTAAGGTTACCATCCAGAAGTCAGTATTTTCAAGAAAGGCTTCAGGCAAGTCATGAAAAGACATGGAGGAAAACTCTGTGCACACGGTACACTGAAAGGCTACAAGCTGAGCAATTCTAACTCTAGGCTGTTCTGGAAAAGGCAGAATGCATGGAGACAGCAAAAAGATCAGTGGTTATCAGGGATTAGTGGGGAGAGGGTATAAACAGGCAGAGCACAGAGGATTCTTAGGGCAGAAAAACACTTTATGACCTGACGTGTCAGTGCAGCCTCTCGTTTGCAACAAGTGCACCCCCTGGGAATGTAACGGGGGGAGAAGGTGTCTCTCTCTTCCTCCCCACCAGAAATGGAAGTGAGGGACCTAAAACTACTCTGAAAAATAAAACTTGTTTTTAAAAATCATCTTCAGAAGCCTTTGTTCCTGGAGACACCTGCTTTTAATGAAAATGACGACAGCACGCATTGTCATTAAAGTCTTTAATAATGTGCAAGACTTGAGCAGCTGTGGCCTTCGTGGGCATGCCCTCTGCAGAAGGAAGGTCAAGGCCACAGCCCACTCCTCACTGTACAAAACCACAGGACGTGTCTCCTGCTTCACAGTCCTGAAGGCGCCCGTTTCCAAGAATCATATCAGAGGACATGCTGTGTTGTGACTGGAGCCGCTGGACCCACCTGAGCACATCCTTCGCCTTCTAAATTTATAAAAGCATAGGACCATGCACGAAATCACCCTGCCTGGGAGCCCGGGTTACACACAGGTCTGTACACCAGCAACCACACTGGCGACTGGGAGGCTGTACCTGGCACCACTGCAGTGTTAACATCAATGCCGTCAGTGTGAACAAATCCATGGCCCCTGTACTGTCTGAGCAGAGGTGTTACTGTCCCTGAGGCGGCACGTGACCCCGTTGTGGGCACACTGGGGTCTCCCTAGGTGACTGCATAGCCCTCCTGATGATGTCACCACAGGGTCACAACGCCCACCAGGCCCAGGCAGCCCTGATTCTGTCCCAGGGTCCTTCACTTCCATTTCCGGGGGCGGGGAGGGTGTGTGCACGCGCAAATCTCCACGTTCTAGAGATGCTGCTCTGCCATCAGGGCCTGGCTGGGGTGCCCAGGGAATCTGGGGGCACCCGGGGAGGCTGGTGTGTCTGCACCGGGTCAGGCCAAGCCAGCAGCTTCTTTATTTAGCTTTTAACTGTGATCTGCCCCAGGCTGCTGCCACATTGGGAAAAGTGAGGCCCAAGGATGCATGGCTATGTGGGACCCACACCCACAAGGGACATCAGGGACCGCTGTCCTGAGGGTGGACAAGGCCCTCCTGCCCCCTTTGCCTGGCCTGAGCCACACTTGACAATATCAGGGACTTAAAAAACCCACATGATTTTACCTCTTTCTAGAAAACCTCGGGTTCAGCTTTTTACCTAAGGAGGAGGGTGGCCGAGTGACTGTGCCCCCTGCAGGTCATGGGAGGGAGGAGGTGAGCCCTGCCAGCAGGGGGGGGCTAAATTTATTCCTTTACTTTAAGGCTAGGGCCCATCATACACATACCCTTTTAAAATGTCTAATTCTGAGCATTATTATTCCTGATAAAAAATACTCTCCAAAAATCTGATACATAACACAAGACATATGCAGGCACTGCTTAGTGTTTCCAGAAATATATTTTGTGCAGATTTCGTTTTCAACTTTGTGGTGGTTTTTTTTTTTTTTTGGGTTTGCGGGTGCTTTGGTGAGCCTTGTTTTAGAACCTCTATGACCCAATTTTCCTGGTCAGTCTAAGGCCCGGGTTGGGACCAATGGAGCCCACCTGGTGAAGGTGTGACCTGGGCGTCAGACCACAGGAGCTGCTGACATGCTCGGTATGAAAATACTTGTTAAATATTAACAACAGGAACTTACCAGGATTTAGAAAATGTTCCGAATTTGTATAAACTCTCCACTGCGCAGGCACTTACATTCCGGACGTGCCTCCTCCGCGTGGGCCGCGCCTGCGACTATGGGCGGGTGACCCCCGCGGAAAAAAGGCATCAGAGGGAAGCGCCAGCATCAGAGGGACACTTTATTCCTCGGGACATTACAGGCCAACTCCCGGTGGAGCAGGTCAGTTCTGCTTCTGTGGAAAGTGTGCACCTTCGAAGTTGGGGGCAGTTTCTCCCTTAGACACGGTCGCCGCGGCCCCCGCGGCGAGAAGAAAGTTCCTCTGGGCCTGAGGCCCACGGGCTGCACGGGGAGGCTGTTCTGCCCTGGGCACCCGCCCACGCCCGGCCCCGCATGCATGCGCAGGGGTCAGGGCCAGGGCCAGTGCCATCCACGCGTCCACGACGAAAGCGCAGTGCCTCACACGGACTCCTCGGTGGACAGCAGCAGTGGGTTGATGTACTCGAACCCTTCAAACTCCGACTGGTCGATCCTCTTGATTACGTCCCTGCAGGGCCAGAGAAGGCTCGGTGGGCATGTTTGAGATCGGGCCCTGTCTCGCCCCCGCAGCTAAGGACGCCCTGCACCCCCCGCCCCCGCCCTGCAGTTTAGGACGCCCGGCCTCCACCTGGGACCCTTTCTCCCCCCCTGCAGTCCCCGGCCCTGCAGCTGGACACCCCGCCGCGCCATGCTGCAGGCCTTACTCGTCGTCAGGGGTCAGCTGCACCGGCTCGCTGGTGAACTGCGTATCGAAGTTGTCCAGGCCATAGTCGTCTGTGATCTGCGGCTGGAAGGGCGGGAGGGCCTGCTTCTTCCCCAGCTGCAGGAAGATACACGGTCAGAGCCACGTGCGCCAACTTGGCGCTGTGCAAACTCAAACCACAGAATCAAACAGAAGAAATGGTGCTTAAGTATATAAGCCTCATTTGATGGCCAATTGTTTTTCTCTAAAGTGTAGAAATTTCCCTCAAAGTCAGAAAAACTACTTGAGCTGAAAAGTGCTGGCAGCACAGGCCATGAGAGACATACCCCACGCCATCAAGGGCCTGCAACCCCGCTCCTTAAACCAAAGGAGACTGGTTTGGGGAGTTTTAATCTTGGAACCCTGGTCATAAGAGAGCTGAGGCTTGGTAGGGATACCTGTGTTCCACTGGTACCCCTCCTCCCGAGAAGCCTTAAACGGCCATTTCTGACTAGTATTCCTAGTCCCAAAGGGATGCATGGCATTGAAAGGTTTGTCAGGCAGGAAATGGGGCACATGAGAACCCAGACCCTGCCTCCCAGTTGTCCTCTTGGGGGCTGAGACACAGTGTCTGGAGAGGGCAGAGTCACGTGGAGGTGGAGCAACTCAGAGTGGCTCCAGTTACTGGAGGGGGGGGCACCTGGGCCCCCACGTTCACACACTCTTTACATCCTCTCCCTTCCCCTCTACCAGGTGTGTGCTGCACACAGGTGCTGGGCCAGGCCTGCTCCTCAGACCCCAGATAGAGCCACACTGAAGCATGGGGGTCTCTGCCCAGAGGGACTGTCCCAGTCACAAGGGAAGCTGGAGCCAGAGGACTGGCAGGAGCCAGCCCTCGAGTTGGACCACTGTGCTCTCACAGCCAGGGCAGCTTGATTCAAGGGGTGGATGACCCTGGCCTTTCATGACTGGCTGCCACCTTCCCTTGGAGGGTCTGAGTGAGCCAACCTGGAAACCCCCGCCTGGGTGGGGCCTCCATGTGACCCGGTTGGAGACATGGAACTGTCCCAAGGCCCTGTGTAGGTAGAGAGCTCCAACCAAGTCAGAAATAAGCCTCCAGTCCACCCCAGCTCACACCCTGTCTTTGCACTGTGGGGCCAGGGCCCTTAGGAACACCACTTACGGCAACAAAAGCAAACTGGGCCTGGAAGGTTGAAACAGGTCCTATAAGTTTGGGGGATTTGGGAAGCTGAACACACAGGTTCTGCTAATGAAGTTGGTGCAGGAAGAGTGAATGTCACAGAGATGAATCCCCCAGTCATGCCCAGTAGTATCAGGGCTGTAGCCAGCACGCCCAAGCCACCTGGAGAGGCATGCCCATCACTGTCACCCAGGGGATGCAGGAGGCAGGTGCGGAACAGAGGGGACGGGCTGACCCACTGGTAGAAGGGGGCTACCAGTGTGTGCGCATGTGTGCATGTGCCCACACGCCCATGTGCACGCTGTGATCCCAGGGCTACGGGAGCTGGTGGGCATGGCCACACCCTGGACACTGTTCTGGGGACACAAGGCCTTCCCTTCTCCCCTGGCTTTCTCTCTGTCAGGCAAATTTCCATATTCTTGTCAGCATGAAATATATTCAGATAAAAAGGAGGAAAAGGAGCATTTCTCTTGTACTATTTTCTCTTGTACTATTTTCCCTACTTTAGGTCTCAGGCTGCTTTAAAGAGATTTAAATATCAAGTCAGAACAGACCATGAGGAAAATGCAGCCAGGTGCTGGCCTGGGGTCCTCCAAGCCCACCCCCCATCCCTGGCCGCATGGCCGCCCCCCCACCTCCCCGCCCAGGGAATGTCGCACAGTGTCACCTCTTCTTCCCTCAGTGAAAAGCAATGAACTGGAATGGCACTGCCCTAGAGTGACACCCCAGAGTCCCGCCACTTAGCCCTGAGGTGTGATGGGAAAGAGGAGGCCCAAAGGGGCTGGGAGTGAGTGCGCTGAGGCAGTCTGATGGAGTTGATGGGTGGAGGTTGGGAGGGGCAGAGCTGTGTCATGGCCCTGAGGCAGGAGTGGGCCCAGTGTGTCGGGGCAGCGAGGGACTCCTATAGGCCCAGGGGAGGAGGTGGCTGCTGGCAGGGCCCAGGCAGGAAGCAGGGGACTGTCCAGGATGTGGGCAGCTCAGACCCAGGTGGCAGCAGTGGGGGTGAGAGAAGGCCAGACCCAGAAGGTTGAGTCCCCAGGGCTGGGTGGGTCAAGGGCCACTGTAGGGGGAGGGGCCACAGCGCACCTGGGTGTCTAGCTGGGACTAGCTAGATGGTTAAGTGGAAGTGTCTGTGAGCTGACTCAGGGCGTGGACATAGAGCTCAATCAATGGGTGTATGGCTGGGCTCATCTACCCAAACACACCCCGACAGGACACCCAGCATAGCATGAACTGGATGCCCCAGCAAGGCTGCTCTCAGGACCTTCAGGAAGCACTGCCCCCAGGGCCTTGTCACAGCCTGCCTCCTTGTTCTAAATCAGTGTTTCCCAAGGCACCCCCATTTCCACCCATCCTGCTCCCTGGAGGCCCCTTTCCCCCAGGGAGGCAGGTATCAGGTTCCAACCACTTTACCAGGTCCCAGTCTATACTGCGGAAGAAGGCGTGAGACTTGATATCGGAAAATCCAGTCTGCGGCCGGCAGCCGAGCCTCTCCTTGGGGTCCTGAGGAGGTCAGAGTTCAAATGAGGACGAATCAGCAGAGAGCAGAGCAGTCCAAGTCAGTAGCGGGTCTTAAACACTGTCAGCAAACCACCCGTGGCCAGCCTCCTACCCAGGTGAAACTGCTTCCTCCCAGCGGGTTAAGTTCCTTCAGGAAATGCCTCTCTGGCATAATTTCCCTTCATTATCTTTTGTCAAGTCTGAATAAGCATCCACAGGACCACCAAGGAAGGAAGCAGAGTCACACCCACGTCCGGCACTGAACTACCAGACCAGGTGGTAAAGCCTCAACCCCAGTAGCTGAAGAAGGGCTGCGGCAATGGCCGCTGGGGTGCCACAGGGGGCCACAAGTGTACCTTGTTTAAAAATCCTTTCAACACGTGGGAGGCCTTGACAGAGAGGAACCGGGGGATCCGGATGGGCTTCTCCAGGATGACTGCAGGACCGGAGGAGAGAGTCGTTCCTTCTGCTGCCCCTCTGCCAGCTCCTCCTTCCCTGCCCCCAGCCTGTCAGCTCTGCCAAGCAGCCTGCAGGGCACTGGGAACCTTTTCTGGGTAGGAGGGTCGGGGCAGTCACGGTGGCCTGGGCCTCTTCCTGTACCCCAGCAGGGCCTCCAGGCCTCAGAGGCCCTGGTGCCCATGGTCAGGCATGCTCATGATCAGGGATGAACCAACAGCAGCTCAGCTGGCCCTATGTCCCCACGTCCACAGGTGCAAGACAACACTGTTGGACAGCTTCCCCACGTCCACAGGCCCAGGAGAGCACCATGGGGACAGCCTCCCCACGTCTACAGGCACAGGAGAGCACCGTGGGGACAGTCTCCCCACATCCACAGGCACAAGAGAGCACTGTGGGGACAGCTTGGGCCAGCATCCTGGGGGCAGTCAGTTCTGGTCCAGGGGCCCAGATGGCAAGGAGCTGAGGCTGAGCACAGCCCCTGCCCAGGACTCAGGGGCACACCAGAGGTGGGGAGAAGGGGGCCTTGGCTAAATCAGGACAGATTCTTTCCCGTGGATGTGAAAGACCAGTATCCCCCTGCCCACCATGCTTTGCTCCCTGAGAGCCAGTAGTGGACAGGTGGCAACACCTAGTCTGTGGCAGCCACGGTGACCAGTCAGGGGACCCTTTCACCCCCACTTCTAAAAGGGGAAAACCCGCAGGGCACGGAGGGAGCTTGATGTATGGCCCGCGCACCTTGGAAAAGGTAGTCTTCAGTGTTCATGTCGGGGTTGTCGGTGATGATGTCGAAGGGGGAGCGGCCTGCCATCATCTCGAACATCAGCACACCCAGCGCCCACCAGTCCACACTGAACCCTGTGGGAGAGCCAGGCTGGTCAGGCCAGGACTCTCCATTTGTGCTGTCCAGTCACGGGGCAACAGCTGTGACCTGGACCTGGACCACAGCTGAGGCTGGGTGTCCCCAGCATCTCCCAGGCAGCCTGGCCTCCCCTCTGTCCACTGTTCTGGGGGCTGCAAAGCTATCTTCATGTCAAGGAAGCCCAGGGACAGCCAGCTGCCCCGGTTGTCCAAAGGTGTGCAGCTCCATCACACATAGGGCCCCCATTCTGGGAGGGCTATAGACTCTGCTCTGGACCATGGCTGCTGTTCATCCTCCTTGTTTGGTTACTAAGTGACTTCAATCGTATTGGCCTCCCAGGTGCCTAGGGATCTGAGGGGGCGAGAACCTGCCCACCCCCCAATTTCAACGGCAAAGAAAATATGTGGAAATATTTGAAAGAGTATTTGTGATGGGAAAACAGAAGAACCCAAAAATGCAGGGGGTGTGCACACACAGACACACATGTATATATGTTCTAATCTCACTTTCATTTCACACCCAGAGAAGGAGAGGGTGGACACAGTCCAGTGTCACAGAGGCTGTGGGTGGTTCTGGTGGGTTTAGGGAACCCACACCTGTGGGTGGCACCAGTGACTTGGGACCCCTGGTTGGGGCCTGTCTTTGCATTGTCTTCTCCTTCCCAACCTTTCGGGCTCCTTGACCAGAGGAATCCTGCCCAGTGACCTCCCCAGGGGACACTCAGGTGGACACATGGGACAACAGCTGGGACTGAGGCCATGTGATGACCTGGGGCTGGCGAAGTAACAGTGTGTTTTAGTGCAGTCTGGTCAGGAAACCCTCTTACTGGCAGCTGGGCCAGCTCCCCAGAGACCCTGGTTAGGACCCCAGCAGGGCCAGCCCCACTAGGGTTGCCTCCTTTGCTGTCTGCCCCATCACAGAGTCTCTGGCAGAGGCAGCTCCCAGGGCTCAGGCCGTCCTGGTCCACTCCAGACGCAGAGCCAAGTCCCTGGGCAGAGAGGCTTCCAGGGCTTGGGGTGCCTAGGTGTCCTGGTCCATTCTAGACTCAGAGCCAAGTCCCTGGGCAGAGGAGGCTCCCAGGCCTCAGAGTGTCCTGGTCCACTCCCACCTTGGAGCCGAGTGCCTGTCCCACCCGTGCTCACCATACTCCTCTCCCCGCAGGATTTCGGGGGCGATGTAGTTCGGGGTTCCGCAGAAAGTGCTTGTCGTGTCACCAGGGCCCAGGCCTTCCTGTGGGGACAAAGCTAATTACTAGGAGGGAGGGTACCCCCCAGACACGCCCCCACTAGTGGGAGAACGCATGGTCATATGGAGGTGCCGGAGACCAGGCATGGATGAGATGGTTTGGGCGCCAGGCTGGCCATGACCCCAGTAGGCTGGTGGGGCAGGAGCAGTGGGCAGGATGCTCACCTTGCACATGCCATAGTCTGTCAGTTTGATGTGGCCGTCGGCGTCAAGGAGGACATTGTCCAGCTTCAGGTCCCGGTAGATAATCCCTCTCTCGTGTAGGAAGTTGAGTGCGATACAAATCTCAGCAGCATAGAACCTGGGGAGGGGGCAACACCTGTCATCAGCAGAGAGAACCCAACCAGGAACCTGGATAGGACACAAGACGTCGGAATTCTCCACTGATGAGCTCATGTGCCAACAGGGCTGGGCAAGACACACGTGGGCCCACAGGACCAGGAAAGGCATGCAGCATCCCTGTGGTCAGGGAGACACAAACCAAACCTACCATGAGATACCACCTCACACCTACCAGGATAGCCACTAGACAACGGGCCCCCTATCCCTCCGAACAGAAAATGACAAGTGCTGGCAAGGATATGGAGAAACTGCAACCCTCATGCACTGCTGGTTGGGATGTAAAATGGTGCAGCTGCTGTGGGAAATAGCTTGGAAGGTCCTCAAAACATTAAAAATAGAATTACCATGTGACTCAGCAATTCCACTTCTGTGAATAACTTGAAAGAATTGAAAACAGGGGCTCAAATGGGTATTTGTACCCCCTTGTTCACAGCAGTACTATTCACAGTAGCTAAATCATGGAAGCAACCCAAGTTTTCATCAAAAGATGAGGATAAAATGTGGCCCATTACTGTGATAGGATAGGATCCAGCCTTGAAAAGGGAGGAGGTCCCAACACTGACACCTGCTCCAACGTGGATGGACCTTAGGACATGACACAGAGTGAAACAAACCAGATGAGGGAGGATGCATCCTATGGGATTCCACTTCTCTGAGGTCCCTGGAGGAGTCAGAGTCACAGAGACAAAGTAGGAGAGTGTGGGTTGTGGGAGGGGGTGTGGAGCGAGTGTTTTATGGGGATAGAGCTTTGGTCCAGGAAGAAGAGAAAGTCCTGGCAATGAAAGTCCTGGAGACGGTGGTGGGCATGGCTGCACAGCAATGTGAATGTGCCCAATGCCACTGACTTTGCACTTAAAAATGGTTGAGGTGGGAATTTTATGTTATGTGTATTTTTCCACAATTAAAAAAGGAAAACATAAGCGTATGGGGTTCTTGATTTATTACTTGCCTCTCCCCAAAAAGGACCTATGGTGACTCACAGTGCCACATGGGATTATTTTTAAATGAGGAAATGAGGAAAAGGGAAAAAAGTATGGGAAAACAGGAAAGAGATGTCTATGGGGTGGAAATAAACACCCCACCCACCTGTGAGGCCCAGGCTGCAGGGCCCGGGGGTGGGGGCAATGTGGTCAGTGTCCCTGAGAATCATTTAAAAACAAAGATCATCCTGCTAAGGCCGGACGGTGCCACTGTGCACTCTGCGCTCCGAGGGTCGGGACCAAGGTCGGGTCACTCCCAGGACCCCCCGGGCTGTGGCCTGGCCTCCCCTGCCCCTCCCCCACCCCCGTGCCCGCCCCAGCTGCACCCACCTGGCGTGCTCCTCGGGCAGCTTCCTCTGCCTCTGCATGTGGAACATGAGGTCGCCCCCGTTGACGTACTCGATGACCAGGAACAACCTGCAGGACACACAGGCTGGGGTCACCCTCGTCCTGAGAGGCCCAGGCAGGCGGTGACCAGGCCATCCAACTCTGGGGTCAGTGGCTGGAGCCCCTCAGCTCTGATCCTGATGAAATAAAACTTGGGAGAGAAACTCTCGTCTACCACTCATGTCATTCAACACAGTTATTTACTCTCCCAATGATGCCTTTAGAGGGCTTCCCTGGTGGCTCAGATGGTAAAGAATCCACCTGTAATGCGGGAGACCTGAGTTCGATCCCTGGGTTGGGAAGATCCCCTGGAGAAGGGAACTGTTACCCACTCCAGTATTCTGGCCTGGAGAATTCCATGGACAGAAGAACCTGGTAAGCTACAGTCCATGGGGTTGCAAAGAGTCAGATATGACTGAGTGACTTTCATTTTTCACTTTCAATGATGCCTGGCCTGCCTTTTGGGTAAAAATGTAAAAATAAGGCAGGGCTGGGGGCTCACTGGGGCTGGGAGGGTGCTATGTGGCTGGTGGCTGTGGAAGGCCTCCCCAGGGAGCAAAGGCCTGGATGGTGCGTAGGGAGGTCAGAGCTGAGGGACCAACCTGCAAGTTGAGGGGCCTGGCTCAGCTGGAGAAGCCAGAAGGGCGGGTGCACCATCTGGGGGACGCCAGTGGCCCTCTGGCCACTGTCTGGGTGGACCTGGGACAGGGAGATGGGCAGGCTGAAGGGGAGGAGGTACTTAGCCTCCTGGTGTGGCTGGCCTGGAGGGCCTGAGGCAGAGCCCACAAAATGGCCAGTGGGGTGAGCAGTCAGGAGAGGAAGGGCTGGCTGGAACCACAGGATGGTCCCATGCACCCCTCCCGTAGGACCCACCCCAAGCTGCAGGTCCAGAGTTAGAGGGCCAGGCCACTGGGTATCTGCAATGCTACTGGCCTCCCAGAGGAGGGTGGGGCTGCTGGCTGGAGGGGCCTGTGATTGACAGGCCTCTAGGAGGGTGGAGGTGCTGGTAGGAGAGGCCTGTGATTGACAGGCCCATCCTCTGGATGCAGGCAGGGCTCTTCGGGTCCCCAGACAATTTACCTTGTGATTTTTCTCCTTGATAGGATCCTTCTCACAATAAGGTTTCATTTTCAAAATTAAGTTCACACACAATTTCCCTGAAATGCCCTGCTGAGGCTGGCTTGTGGATTTTTAGGTCAACAGTTCCTCTGGGTATGGAGCGGGGAGGCTTTCAGACAGTCGAGAACACAGAGGGAGCCCTTCTGAGCACTGGCAGCCTGTCTGCATCACTGGTGCGATGATGGTGACGCCCCACACGTGGAGCATGTGAACAAGCTACAGACCACCCACCAAGCCTCTGATCACATATTTACACAAGAAACAATTCCTAAATGCACACAGCAGACATGGAGACTGAGGGCTGAGTACTGGGGGAGCAGCCAGAGCTTTCCATGTGGTCCTGCAGGGTGGGGCAGCTCTCACGCTTGGAGAGGGCCCAGTGACACTGACCCTGACACTAGGCGGTCTGCACCGTAGCTAAGTTTTACTCACACATTTGCCTGTGGCTGCTTTCATGCTATAACAGAGGTGAGAGACGGAAAAGGCTTGCCGATGTGGCACAAACAGGACAAGGATGGCTGCACAGCCCCCACAGACCTTCGCGCACTGTTCCAACATGTGTGCACATTGAACCCTGGCAGCCACCCTGGGGGGAAACATTGTCCAGGTGCTCAAGCCCTGGAGAGGCCTCGCCGCTAAAAAACAAGAGTGCTTATTCAGAATGCTGTACTTCAAAGAACAGGATGGTATTTGCCACGGTGAGCAGGGATCGCGCTGCCCCAGGAGACATGTCCACCCTATGTGGATGTTCCCCAGGGAATGGATGGTGGCCGCCCACATGGACACAAAGAAGTGCCATCCTGGTGCTGGACACCAACATGAGGGCTCAGGGAGCAGGAGAGATGTTTAAAAACCGAGAAAAGTAGCAGCAATGGTGGCTTCCTTTCTGGATCTGGAGGAAAGCCTGTAACGGGGGTTTCAACAGAAGCCATGTGACTGGAGTGAACACAGAGGCACACTCGGCTGGTCTGTGACTGTCACCTGGGGCCCCAGGTCTCAGGTAAGTCACTGAACAAGGAATTCACTTAATCTGCAACACTGATCAGCTATAACAACAGGGCAGAATGGTTTTTTTTTCCTATTTTTTTGGCTGCGCCATGTGGCACATGGGTTCCCAGTTCCCTGATGTTTTCTTCCTTCTACAGATAAACATTAACACTACTTTTGACATTTTAAAAAAATGTATATTGGAGTCTAGTTGACTTATGATGTTGTCTTAGTTTGGGTGTACTACCTTCAACATTTCTTTGGAGCAAACCCCCCAAGAGCCACCAGGGGCTGATTCACCCTGATAATGACGCTTCAAGTGACTCAGATAAGCTGGCTGCTGTGACAAACACCCCAGTGTCCACGGCCAAGTACAGCCAAGGGCCTGTCTCCGGGCTCCATGACTGGGGCTCTGCCCATGAGCCCCAGATTGCATGGCTTGGTTAGCACATGTGTGATGCCAGGACAAGAAAGAAACCTCCCCCCAGGGCTGAGATAGCAAGTCACATTTCCTTAGTACTTAACTAAATATAGTTAAGCAGAACATAGTAAAAACTCACAAAACAGGATTCATCAAGAGCTGGAGACAGAAAGCGGCGTAAACACCACAGTCCACTCCTGGGCCAGAGACCAGGGCAGGAGCCAGGCTGTAGAGTGGGGGCCAGAGACGCTACCCACCCAACCTTTCACCCAGGATAAACCTGGAATGCCAGCCCCTCTGAGGGTCGAGGGTGCCAGGGGGCAGGAGGGGACCACCTGAGACGCTTTCCTCATCTCAGGGCCAAGTCAGGCCAGCCTCCCTACCCCATGGGGTAGATCACCAGCCTCACTCAGAGGAGACCCAGATGTCATGGGACAGTGCTGAGATCAAGAGTAATGCCACCAGCATCTGACCACACCCACTCCCCAACCCGTGTCAGTCGGTAAGGCTTTACTGGAACACTGCCTGTGTCTGTCTGCACCCCAGTGAGTAGTTGTCATAGAGACCATGTGGCCCTCAAAGGTGATACTACTATCTGGTCTTCTGAGAAAAAGTGCTGACCCCCGGTATAAAAAAATAACAAGAACACAGTTCCCACAACTCTCACAAAATGTCAGGTGCTCTTCTAAGCACACCTGTGTATGAAACCTAACCCAAGAACTGCACGGTAGGTTCTAGGAGTTTCCTTATTTTACAGACAGGAACATTGAGATGCTGGGAGGTCAAGGAATTTTTCCCAGGACCACAGTTACTGTCCATGGGATCTGATACTGGGCGGCTTGGAGGAATCCAGAACCCACACCTGGAGCCCCACTTCCAGTTATAGACCCCCCAATCACATGGTGGCTGCCCCTGTCCCCTTGGAGGTAGGGGACAGAAAAAAGGAACAGAGGAAGCAGACAAGGGCCCGGGCTTCTGATGATGAAGGACAGACAAGAAAGGAAGTCAAAAGCCAAAGGGGCATCTCAGGATGGACCAGCCTTGTTCCTAAAGAAAGCACAGATCAGAAACGCTAGGCAACCCCTGGACCCACGTGATCAGAACCTAGTCCCTGACTCAGAAGGATGCTCACATGATCCTGCTTGCTCACTTGCTCACTGTGAGCAAGCAGACCAGAGACCACGGGTCAGGGACAGACACTGACAGAGAAGAAATTAATGAACCGGCCCAGAGAAACCTCCTCCTGGATGAGAGGACAAAAAGCCCCCACCTCCCCGTAAAGGACGTGTGCCCAACACACCACCCAACACATGTCCGAGCTCCAAGGCAAGTGGGACTAGGCTAAGTCCGGCTCAAATGCAGGTGCTATGACATGTGAAGGATGCCTGGAATGTGAACCGCACGTTCACAGGAGACATGCCTGATGATGAAATCAGGCAAAGAAGGAGAGACCAAAACAGCGAAGCAGCCACAGGACACTGAGGATATCACTACCTAGAAAATGTGAAAAGTACAGCAAGCAAAACTGGGCAGCAAGGAAGCCACCTTCTGGTACGCCCCTCTCCCCACGTGTGTCCTCATGCTGAGACTCTAGCCCATGGGGTCGGGGCTGCACGTGGACCATTTCAGGGGATCTGCATGGAGAAGAGAGGCTGACGTGGCTCCGCCCACACCCGCTGTCACTCAGCACCCCGCTTTCTATTCTGGGCTTAAGTTATGACAGGAACAAATGCTCTACCTTTTGAAAGTACCATGACTCACGATCCTAGGGAGGGGGCACCTGTCCTCTCAAGGTCAAAGCTGATTCCTATTGGGTTCACAGCTTCTTGTGCAGGTTCTTTCATCGCGGCTAATGGTGTGTCCCATGAGCACCTCCACCGTCTCCAGGGCCCCCAGGAACCAGTTCTCCCCAACCCCCGTCAGCAGTAGGTGATCAGGCTGGGCCCTGGGTCTGCTCACTGCAGGCCTACCTGCTCCCCTTCTGGTAACTGCTCATGAGAAGCTGGGCCTTATTCACCAGGTTTTTGCTGCTGGGAGCCCACGGGCACAGCTCAGCTTGAGCAGGTGTCCACTGTTTGGCAGCACTGCAAGGACTCAGTGGGCCCCTGGCCCCACGGCAGGTGCTCAGGGGCGACAACTCATGAGGAGCCTGGAGGAGATGGTGCAGCAGCTGGCAGGTGCCCCAGCCACATCCCCACAGCCGTCCTGAATGCCCTAAGCCTCGCTGCCCCCTGCAGGGTCCACTCTGGTCTGCGTGGGGGTCTTGGTGGCTGCACTTGTCAGATGCTTTCTGACTCAGTGGGTTCTATGCCAAAAATGCCATCCACAGACTTGCAAAGGAGGTCTGCCCCGTGTAGACCCCTCCCGGCCCCCAGCCAACTCTGCACTGAGTGTCTGTCCATCCCAAGGTCCCTGTCAGTTGACATTTATGGGACCTGAACTCCTGTGGGCAGGTCATGACCTCTTACTATTTTCTCATTAATCAGAGAGTCACGTGAACTCTGACACACACTCACTGTGCCTCTCTACCGAGAATATGACTGCGCTTACAGAATCATCCTTTAATATTGTGACTGCCCATAAGGTGCCAGGATCAACCAACTGCTTGGAGCAGAACAGCCTGCGTAGCCCAGCTCTTAGGGAGTTCACACTGAGGGGTTGGGTCCAAGCAGGCACCGAGAAACAACCTGGGAAAGACACCTGCTCCAACCATCCAGGTTTCAGGTGCTTCTAAAGGTTACTGCCAGGTTCTGTAACGTTAGAGGCAAGGAAACTAGACACAGACGATAACTGCTCCAGGGTGCCTCCCGGCTATGGTGCTGAAGGCTCTATACAAGTCTTCTCACAGCGGTCTGGAAAGGCAGTATCATGCGTGCCTGTATTGCGGGGATCGCACAGGGGTGATCCTAACTTTAATGTACCTGGGAGCATGTGAACCGGAGGGTTGCCAGGGTGTGAGCTCGGAAGGTGCTGTGCTCCCAGCAATCAAGCTGGAAGTGAGGCTGAAATATCTGACCCCTGTCTGTCCACACTTCTTGTCCCATGTAGTAAAGTTAACAGAACATCACAGTGAAACCCGTTTTAGAATCCATTTAGGAAGAGTGAAGTCAGGAGGATGCCCTCCCTAGGGTCTGTCCCGTATCCCAGAGGCTGGTCAGGGCCAAACAGAGGCGTGGAAAGTATACCGGACACAAGCGCTGGGCTCTCCGTGCATCCCGGGCTGGGGAAGAAGAGGTGAGGGAAGGGCTGCACGGCAAAGATAGACAGACTGGGGTGGAACCTGGTCGCAGGGCCTCATCCATGCGCCTAGCAGCCTGGATGTTCCCCAGAAGCAACTGGGAAAGTGGTCAGGGTCAGAAGTTTCAGATCTGTGTTTTCAAACATGGCTCAGTTTCTATGTGGGGGGAACTGACAACCTGGTGCCCCAGGGACCGGATGCCCCGAGAGGCTGTGGCCAGGATTCAGGGGGAGGAAACGGAGGAGGCTGAGAACCTCTCAGGAGGCAGAATCACTGAGCTTGGGGACAGGGCCGGGGGACAACTGCAGACCTGGGGAAAGGCCAGTTCTGTGGGAACAGGGGAGTGGAGATGGGGGAGGTGAGGGGGCACACGGGGGTGGGGGGTGACTCACTGCTCATTCACAGGGGACCCTGAGCAAAGACAGTGAGCACAGCAGGGCTGAGACCGCCCTGCCACACGCCCACTCCAGGGGAGTCACCGGCTCCCTGTGCTGATGCAAACCCTCCCTAAAAGTGAGCTTGCTTCATGCGATCACATTGCAGAAACACCGCATCTGCCCTGGACACCTGCTGCTTACTGGGAGCCTGGGATTTGGCACATGTTAGGCAGAGGTGCCTACATGACTCACCCCAGTTAACCCCAGGTTTCATGATTCCTTCCAGAGGAATTCAAGGAGTTCCATGGGACCCCAAGTGAAGGGACTCCGGCCAGTGCATGCTCGGGTTCCTCCCAACTTTACCTCAAGCATCTTTGTCTTTTGCCAATTTTGCTTTATACCCTTTCCCAGCAGTGAGTCTCGGCCTTGAATTCGACAATGTGTTAAGTCCTGCGAGTTCTTCTAAGTCACCGAACCTGGGGGTGGGCCCTGAGGACTCTGACCCAGAACACAGTAATTTTTCAAATAAAACAAATTGTGTGAGTTCAAGTCATCTGGCCAAGAAAATTCCAAATTGAGTATACCCTGAATATCATAGACCAGTAGTTCCAACCATTTTAAAGCAGAAATCTAACATATACAAAGCTTTTAAGTAAAGCTCCTGGTGTTTATTACTTTATTCCACTATCAGTGAGAACCACAAGCACAGAGATAGACCTCCCACTCACAGGGCCATACCAGCACCCAATCCCATGCTTGTATCCCATGCAGTGGGATGTGCTCAATAAATATTTTGTAAATAGAATGAAAGAATTTAGCTTCATTTGTATGAAATTCAAGTTATATGACACCAGCTGAGAACAAAGTTATGTGATGAAACAAAAAGCCCCCACACTTGCAAACGGGAGGGCCCCGCAGATGAAAGCGGAAACCTCACGCCAACTCAGCCTCCACAGTTCAGACTAGAGAGCAGCAGAATCCGAGAAACACCCCTTATCTTACCGACTTGTTGTCTGGAAGCAGGAGTGTAAGCCGACCAGGAAAGGGTTGCTGGATGCCTGTTCAAACACGTGCTTCTCTGTCTGTACCCAGTCAATATCCTGAAATAGAAGCCAGCGAGTGTGAATACTTCAAAGACATCCTGGGGAAGGGGAGGCTAGAGAGGAACTCTGTCAACTCTGCTTGAGGGGAGACAATGCAGAGAGGAAAGAAAGTGCCCACTAAGACATTCTCCATCCCCACCACTGTCCCTATTACCATCTGCCACCTTCACTGTCATCACCATCATCCTCACCATCGCTATCAACACTATCACCATCCTCACCACCATCCTTACCATTATCACCATCACTATCATCAACACTATCCTTACCATCACCACCACCATCATCATCCCCACCACCACCATCACCACCACCTTGACCACCATCTCCATCCCCACCATCATCACTATCATCTCCATTACCTTTACCATCATCACCACCACAATCACCATCTCTAGTACCATCAGGATCATTACTCATCAGCTATCACCATCATCATTTATCACCATTTCTACCAAAGTATCACTAAAGCCACCATCGTCAGCTGTGAGTTGGCCTCATGTGTTGCCCATGGTGCCATGGAAGGTTTGTAATATCATCTCCACTTAAGAAGGGAGGAACGGAGAGTGGAGGATTCCCCAAACCCCACACTCATGTCCCAAGCACCAGCTCCCACAATAGGATTGTCTCCCTCACAGTACACGCTGAAACCTGGAGAAAAGTCAGCTTGACAGTCCCAGCTTTGGTTCCATTCCAACCCAAGAAAGAAGAACTGCATGAGGCCCAGGCCCCCAAATTCTCTAAGTTAATCCCCTTCTTTCAGGGAAAGTGAGAGGGAATGAGATGTGTTCAGAGTAGCCTGCCTTCCCCCAAGGTATTTGGGAAAAACTAGTGAACTCTCAGTTAGCACACATTTGGAGGGCCAAAGATCATCTGGGTTCCTCGTCGTAGGCTGGGTCCTGATCCCTCTGACCTCCACCCTCCAAGGAGGTGCTCTGGGAGGAATGGCTTCATCTGACCAGCCCTACCCACCCCAGCTCTGCTTGCTTAAGTGATGGCCAACTGGCCACTCGGAGTCTCAAGTGCAAACCCAGCCTTAAACACAGCCAACCATCCCTGTTTGTTCTCCAGGGCGCCTGGCCACCGAGATGCTCAGGAAGGAAACCTCAGTGGGTACACGATACCCCCTCCCCCCCACAGAGGCCAAGCCCCCCGGTCTGCCTTCCTCCCGCCTGCTGGACTCTCCAGGTTGTTGTAACAAAATGCCACAGACTGCTGGGCTTTAACACTCCAGATTGCGTCCTCTCGTTGTTTTGAGGCAGAAGCCTGAGCTCAAGTGTGGGCAGGGCCACGCTCTCGCCCAGGTCCCCACGGAGGGTCCTTCCTGCACCTCCAGGGGCCTCTGGCTCCTGTCTGCCTCCCTCTTAACAGTTTCACTGTGTTTTTCCTTCTTTCTGTCTCAAATCTTTCCCTGCCTTTCTCTAAAAAGACACTTGTCCCTGGATTTAGGGCCCCTCCAGATAATCTAGAATGACCATCCCATGATCCGTAATCACTTCTCGCCAAATAAGGTCCTGCTCACAGGTTCCGGGGATCAGATGAGAGCCACCCCTCAGTCCACCGACCAAGGCCCAGGCCCAGGGCCATAGGATGGCAGAGTTTCAGAATGCAAACAGCTGGCCCATCTGCCGGCTCCTAGTGTCTCATTCTCTTGAGACCACCTCAAAGTCCAGACTCCAGCCCTGGCCCTGGCTATGTGATGATGCCAGGATCAACTACAGCAGCAATTTTCCCTGGAGACCTCTCCTCTCAGCATTCTAGAAACTGCCCTACCCCCCAAAGACACCATCAACCCTCCAGCCAGCTGTGCACTGGGCAGAGACTTGGAATCACCTTGCAGGGCTGTGACCATCAGTGAAGATGCTGGCTGGGCCCCACACCTCCCATCAGTGAAGACACCGGCTGGGTTCCACACCTCCCCAGGGCTCCGCTTCCTCAGCTGAGAGGCAGGGTTGCACCAGCTCAGTTGTGAGCTCAGCACCGGGGGCTGGCGGCCAACTGGGTGGTGTGTGCACTGCACAAATGCACTTGCTGGGAGGGCAGGTGAGGACTTGGTTGAAGCCCTGGCTCTGCCCTCTGAGCTTCAAGCCTAGGCAGCCCTCCCATGGCCCCCACTCCATGTGTATCAAGTCGTCTCACAGTGACATCATCATTGCTCCCTCTGAAGTCACTGTCTGCTTCTAAGGGATGTAACCCCCGTTCAGGGGGTCAAAGAACAGATCAAAAGTACACAAAGCCAAGAAGCCCATGAAAAGGTGCTGAATGCCTGTCAAAGCCACTAAACACCCGCTAGAAGAGCGATAACCAAAAAATAGAACACAACCAGTATTGGCAAGAATGGGCAGAAGTGGGACCCTCGTGTGTTTCTGGTGGGGACGTAAAACGACACAGGGGAAGACGGTTCAGTTGTTCCTCAGAGTGAAACACAAGATGACCCTACGACTTGGTAATCCCCTCCCGGGTGAACACCCAGAGGAGTGAAAACAGGGACCCAGACAGCCGCACAGACGTTCACGGCAGCCAGAAATGGAGACAAGCCACGTGCTCATCAGGGACGGACACACATGCCAAACGGGGCCTGTCCATAAAACAGAACACGACTGAGGCCTAGAAAAGAAAGAGGAGGTGCCGCGCCTCGATACACTTGGATGGACCGTGAGAACGAGATGCTCCGTCAGAGAAGCCAGACATAGAAGGTCCCACAGCGGGTTCCATTTACATGCAGCGTCCAGAACAGGCAAATGCACGGAGACAGAAGCGGCCAGGCACTGTGGGGCCGGAAGAGACTGGGGAGGGACTGTTCACGGGGAGGAAATGTTGCGGGCTGGGCGGTAACAACGCTTACCCAATACCGTGAATGCGCTAAAAGTCACTAAACTTTACACTGGAAAGCGGTGAAAGCACACACTTTGTTCTGTGCGCTTACTGGCACACAGAGGAGCAGACAGGGAGGCCGGATGTGCTGCAGGCCATGTGTCACAGAATTGGATACGACTTGGCAACTGAACAACAACAACGGGGGACAGATGCAATCTCACCTCATCGTCATGGACCAGCTCCTTCTTTACCACCTTCATGGCGTAGACCTGGTCGTTCTTCTTCAGCCGCACCAGCAGGACCTTGGCGTAACTCCCGCGCCCGATGACCCTGATCAGGTCGAAGTCCTGCAGCCCGAGCCCCTGAGATATCTTGATCCCGTCCATCCCGTCGATGACTGGCTTGAGGTCCTGATGGGGGTGGACAAGATGGGAGGAAGCGGGAGGGCATCACCACCCATGCCCTCCCCACCCAGGAACAGACCTCTAGAACTTCTGATGGAAGGAGCAGAGATCCAGGAGCCATCACCAGTCACAGGTGGCCCCTCTGTGAGCCAGGAGGGATGTGCAGGGCCAGACTGCCCTGACTGCTGAGGAGGTGACCATGGGCTCACACACCCCAGGGCCATCGGTGCTGGGATCAGAAGCTCACCTGGCCCTCCCTGGGGGGCACAAACCATAACCTGCTAATGCCTCGGAGACCCGCCGCAGCAAGCGTCACTCTAGTGACCCTCAACGGCAGGGAAAGGCCACCTGAGCACATGCACCCCTCCTGAGGACTCTCTCTGAAGAGGGTTTTGTGCTGGAGGAAAGGTAACCGAGTGCTCCTGACTCATTGCACACACAAATGACCAGGGAGAAAGAAAGAGCTCAAGTCCAGAGGGGACAAGCACTTTGGGAAAGGTGTGGCCTTGCCAGGTACTGCTGTTCTTGGAGGCTCTGTGGACAGAAGCTCCAGCTGGAACCGCCCTCGCTCGGGACCAAGCTTCTCAAGCCTTATTTATCACCCAGAGTCAAACTGTGATGTTGTGGTTGGTAATACAAAGTCCCTACTTGTTCCAGGGCCCCATTCCTGGCACAGAGCTCCTAACCCCAGGAGGTTCCAGGTGCTGACAGCCAGCGAAGTGTCCCTTTGTCATGTTAACAAAGCGCCTAGAGGGAAGCCACTAGGTCACCTGAGGGTGTGGCTGGTTGCCCCGGGAACCAGCCCTGGGATTAGAGGGTCAGTCCCACCTCCTATTTGGAGATTGCCTCTGTGCTAAAAGTCTCAAAGACTTCTCAGATCTGTGACCCCGTAAAAGTCTCAAAGACTTCTCAGATCTGTGACCCCGCCGCCTCAGTGTATGCAATCCCCGATGCCCACCAGGCCCCCGGACACCCCTAGTTCACCTTTAAGTTCCCACAGTGGCCCCAGAAATGAGCTGATGAACCTCTCTAACAGACACAGACACCAACGAGCCATTTTCTACTCACCTCAGAATCATCTTTAATGTTGTCATGTTTCCGGGTTGAAGAAATATAAGCAACTGGTGAAGAGAAAGAAAAAGGGGGAAGGGGTCAAAGCCATCAACAGGGATGTGGCCCAGGACCCAGGGACTCCCACGGCCTCTGTCCCTTTGTGGACACGCAGTGCAAGGCCAGGCCAGGCCACCTGGTGCTCAGGTGGAAGGCCTGGAGCAGCTACTTCTGCCTCAACTAGAGACTTGGGAGAACACAGCTTCCAGAGCCCACCCCCATCTGCTGACTCTCAGCTTCTGGGGCTGAGGCCTGGAAATCTGCATTTGTGACAACTTTCCCTCATGGTTCTTCTAGAAGCGAGAGAGCAGAAGGATTTGATGTCAAGCCTTCCAGTCTCTTTTCTCAAGGTGTGCAGCTGGGTGGGTAGACAGGTGGGGCAGGTGGATGGATGGTGGGTGGGTGGTGTGTAGATGGTAGGGGTGGGTGGAGAGTGGGTGGATGTGTGTAGATGGTAGGTGGGTGGTGGGTGGATGTGTGTGGATGGTGGGGGTGGGTGGAGAGTGAGTGGACGTGTGTAGATGGCGGGTGGGTGGATGGTGGGTGGGTGGATGTGTGTGGATGGTGGGGGTGGGTGGAGAATGGGTAGATATGTGTAGATGGTGGGTGGGTGGGTGAATGGTGGGTGGGTGGACGTGTGTAGATGGTGGGTGGATGGTGGTGGGTGGATGTGTGTGGATGGTGGGGGTGGGTGGAGAGTGAGTGGACGTGTGTAGATGGTGGGTGGGTGGGTGGATGGTGGGTGGGTGGATGGTGGTGGGTGGATGCGTGTGGATGGTGGGGGTGGGTGGAGAGTGAGTGGACGTGTGTAGATGGCGGGTGGGTGGATGGTGGTGGATGGATGTGTGTGGATGGTGGGGGTGGGTGGAGAGTGAGTGGACGTGTGTAGATGGTGGGTGGGTGGATGGTGGGTGGGTGGACGTGTGTAGATGGTGGGTGGATGGTGGTGGGTGGATATGTGTGGATGGTAGGGGTGGGTGGAGAGTGGGTGGATGTGTGTAGATGGTGGGTGGGTGGATGGTGGGTGGGTGGACGTGTGTAGATGGTGGGTGGATGGTGGTGCATGGATGTGTGTGGATGGTGGGGGTGGGTGGAGAGTGAGTGGACGTGTGTAGATGGCGGGTGGGTGGATGGTGGGTGGGTGGATGTGTGTGGATGGTGGGGGTGGGTGGAGAGTGAGTGGATGTGTGTAGATGGTGGGTGGGTGGGTGAATGGTGGGTGGGTGGACGTGTGTAGATGGTGGGTGGACGTGTGTAGATGGTGGGTGGATGGTGGTGGGTGGACGTGTGTAGATGGTGGGTGGGTGGGTGGATGGTGGGTGGGTGGATGTGTGTATGGTGGGTAGGTGGGTGGTGGGTGGATGTGTGTGGATGGCAGGGGTAGCTGGAGAGTGAGTGGACGTGTGTAGATGGTGGGTGGGTGGATGGTGGGTGGGTGGACGTGTGTAGATGGTGGGTGGATGGTGGTGGGTGGATGTGTGTGGATGGTAGGGGTGGGTGGAGAGTGGGTGGATGTGTGTAGATGGTGGGTGGGTGGATGGTGGGTGGGTGGACGTGTGTAGATGGTGGGTGGATGGTGGTGCATGGATGTGTGTGGATGGTGGGGGTGGGTGGAGAGTGAGTGGACGTGTGTAGATGGCGGGTGGGTGGATGGTGGGTGGGTGGATGTGTGTGGATGGTGGGGGTGGGTGGAGAATGGGTAGATATGTGTAGATGGTGGGTGGGTGGGTGAATGGTGGGTGGGTGGACGTGTGTAGATGGTGGGTGGACGTGTGTAGATGGTGGGTGGGTGGGTGGATGGTGGGTGGGTGGATGTGTGTATGGTGCGTAGGTGGGTGGTGGGTGGATGTGTGTGGATGGCAGGGGTAGCTGGAGAGTGAGTGGACGTGTGTAGATGGTGGGTGGGTGGATGGTGGTGGGTGGATGTGTGTGGATGGTGGGGGTGGGTGGAGAGTGAGTGAACGTGTGTAGATGGTGGGTGGACAGGTGGGTGGTGGGTGGATGTGTGTGGATGGTGGGGGTGGGTGGAGAGTGAGTGGACGTGTGTAGATGGTGGGTGGGTGGATGGTGGTGGGTGGATGTGTGTGGATGGTGGGGGTGGGTGGAGAGTGAGTGGACGTGTGTAGATGGTGGGTGGACAGGTGGGTGGTGGGTGGATGTGTGTGGATGGTGGGGGTGGGTGGAGAGTGAGTGGACGTGTGTAGATGGTGGGTGGGTAGGTGGGTGGTGGGTGGATGTGTGTGGATGGTGGAGGTGGATGGTGGGTGAGTGGACGTGTGTGGATGGTGGGTGGGTGGACGTGTGTGGATGGTGGGTGGGTGGATGGTGGTGGGTGGATATGTGTGGACGGTGGAGGTGGATGGTGGGTGAGTGGACGTGTGTGGATGGTGGGTGGATGGATGTGTGTGGACGGTGGAGGTGGATGGTGGGTGAGTGGACGTGTGTGGATGGTGGGTGGATGGTGGTGGGTGGATGTGTGTGGATGGTGGAGGTGGATGGTGGACGAGTGGACGTGTGTGGATGGTGGGTGGATGGTGGTGGGTGGATGTGTGTGGACGGTGGAGGTGGATGGTGGGTGAGTGGTCATGTGTGGATGGTGGGTGGACAGGTGGGTGGTGAGTGGACGTGTGTGGATGGTGGGTGGACAGGTGGGTGGTGAGTGGACGTGTGTGGATGGTGGGTGGATGGATGTGTGTGGACGGTGGAGGTGGATGGTGGGTGAGTGGACGTGTGTGGATGGTGGGTGGGTGGATGGTGGTGGGTGGATGTGTGTGGATGGTGGGTGAGTGGACGTGTGTGGATGGTGGGTGGGTGGATGGTGGTGGGTGGATGTGTGTGGATGGTGGAGGTGGATGGTGGGTGAGTGGACGTGTGTGGATGGTGGGTGGGTGGATGGTGGTGGGTGGATGTGTGTGGATGGTGGGTGAGTGGACGTGTGTGGATGGTGGATGGGTGGATGGTGGTGGGTGGATGTGTGTGGATGGTGGAGGTGGATGGTGGGTGAGTGAACGTGTGTGGATGGTGGGTGTGTGGATGGTAGTGGGTGGATGTGTGTGGATGGTGGAGGTGGATGGTGGGTGAGTGGACGTGTGTGGATGGTGGGTGTGTGGATGGTGGTGGGTGGATGCGTGTGGATGGTGGGTGGACAGGTGGGTGGTGGCTGGGAGTCTCCTTTACATGAGCTGCTGTACTACTTTGTGCTCCGTGGCCTCACATCACCCCCAGGGAAAGAACAAGTGTTTATTGAGTGAGGCCTAGGCCCTCGTACACCCTTGTGACCATGCACAGAACTGCAGAAGCTCAGAGCAGGGCCATCAGTCCAAATGGAATAAAAATTGCTCTCTTGAATGCTTCTTAGCAGTAAAAAAAAAAAAACACACCAACTCTCCACAACCAAAAAAAACCAAACCTACTAAAACCCAAGAACTATGCAATACTGGGCACGGCAGGCCTTTCCAGAGACGCATATCTGTGGCGGCCACTGCACTAGTGCCTCCTAGAACTCCCGAGGTTGGAACAGAGGAAACCCCACCCTCCACCTTGACTCCCACGGGCAGCAGCACAGAGATGTGGGCGCCCAGGGAAGGCCAGCCCGCCCACGCCTGCTCTGGAGAGCCCATCCCAGCCCTGCAGCAAGCGGCCATGCTCACAGGCCCTGGCTTGGGAGGGAGGAGGATCTAGAAAGGGTTCTGGGGGTGGGAGCAGCAGCCCTACTTCCATCGCTCTCCTCGGAGGGAAGGTCCACGTCATCACTCTTGTCATCCACTGCAGGCTCCTGGGAAGGCATGACGGAATCCTGCAGAGAGACAGGCCAAGTGACTAGGCAGCACCACAAGGGGCTTCTGGAGACACTGTGTGACCGGGAGTCACCTGTCACGCTGTGACGTCACAACACACGTCATTCAGCTGTTACAGCATCGCCCTGAACACGGCAAGATGAGCACTGGAATTACCTGCGTTTCCACAGGCGGAGGTGGCTGCTTAGCCCTCAGGTCCCACCCTTCCAGCAGGTGCTTGTAAAATGTGTCTTTTCACATAGTAACGCTTAGTCCCCTCAGCCCTGCCCTCATCGCACAGCGGCCGCAGTCAGGCCCCAGCTCCAGGTTCCATGGCTGACATCACAATTGAGGCAGCTCCCTATTGGTGGACTCTGGGGCCCCAAGAGTGCTGGGGGACTCCTGGGGCTTGGGAACAAGGCCCGACCCAACTGCTGACTGGCTGTCACTCTGCAGCCCCTAGGTCACCCCCTCTTCTCATCTCGTGGGTAGCAGGGACGGGGTTAGGACCCAAGCTGGGCAGGGGGAAGCCTAGGGTCCCAGAGGCAGCAGTGTGGACTGCACCCCAGCTGGCCGAGGTGTCCACTCACCATATGCCTGCTGCAGGTCAATGGGACGAGCACGTAGCAGCGCTTATGGACCAGTAGTTTGCAGTGGATGCACCTGTAGCCCTGCCTCGCGAGGCCCCATATCCTCTCGCTGCACTGGCCGCAGTACGCTCTCTGCATGGACAAGAATAGGCATCGTCAGCCAGGCCTGGTGCCCCCGTGGTTCTTCCACACCAACGGGACACACTGCCCTGTAAAAACACACAGCCAGGCCTGTGCCCCCGTGGTCCCTCCACACTGAGGGGACATGCAGCCAGGCCAGGAAGAGGCCTCTTCACACCTGGTAACAGGCCCCACCCAGGCCCAGTAGCCCCAGCTTGGGTCTCTCCCAAGGTTGAGGAAACCAAGACCCCGAGGGGCTGGGGCTATGCCCCCATAGGACCTTGTGAGCAGGTAACGAGACCTCTCTGTGGGCAGGGCCTCCTTGCCTGCAGGACCTGGAGCGGGGTTGCAAATCCAGCCTGGCTGTGCTCAGAACAGCTGAGGGGCTCCGCCTGAGTGGAGTGACCCAGGTGAGAAGGCTGTGGGGGAGCCTGACCACTGCATGACGCTCGTCCAAACCCACTCATGACCCCTGCATGATGAACAGAGGCGACCATGCCTGGCAACTGAATGCATCTGGATTCTGAACCACTTTGGGGCTCCATGTGATTCAGTTCAGTTCAGTTGCTCAGTTGTGTCCAACTCTTTGTGACCTCATGGGCTGCAGCATGCCAGGCCTCCCTGTCCACCACCAACTCCTGGAGCTTGCTCAAATTCATGTCCATTGAATCAGTCATGCCATCCAACCATCTCATCCTCTGTCGTCCCCTTCTCCTCCTGCCTTCAATCATGCCCAGCATCAGAATCTTTTCCAGTGAGTCAGTTCTTTGCATCACGTGGCCAAGGTATTGGAGTATCAGCTTCAGCATCAGTCCTTCCAATGAATATTCAGGACTGATTTCCTTTAGGATTGACTGGTTTGATCTCCTGGCTGTCCAAGGGACTCTCAAGAGTCTTTAGCACCACAGTGCCTTTGAATGTTTGAGTATCTCCTGCAGAGGTACAGGTCAGCAGTGGCCTGCGATAGGGGCAGGGACTCTGGGTGCAGCAGACCTGGGTGTGGTATAAGCCCTCTTGGAGGAGGTCGCCATTAACACCGCCATAGAGCTGTCAGAACTTACACAGGACTGGGGAAACAGACTCTTAGAGGGCACAAACAAAACCTTGTGCACTCCAGGACCCAGGACAAAGGAGCAGTGACCCCACAAGAGACTGACCCAGACTTGCCTGTGAATGTTCATGCTAGTACAAGTCCACCCTTGTATTTTTCTCAGCATTTTAAAAAGATTTTAAGTGGTCAATCTTTGTTCCTCTTGGTTATAAACACTTGAAACTCATGATCATGACTGGCTCGTTTGGTGAAGTTTTTGTGATTTTAGAAGTCCCAAAATGCAAAGATGAGTGTGTCCAGAAGTGGGGTCACCCACCCACCACTTGGAGCCCAAGTTGTCTCCTTGGTTACATGGTGTCCGTACATTGGCAGTCTCCCGCTTACTTCTGTTCCAGCCATATCTCATTTACATGTTTTACCCTCTTTTGCCATGTTTAACAAATTTCTTTCCTTTGAGAAAGTTTCAAATTACTCCTGGAGAACAGAAAGGATGCACTGTATCGGCGCTGATCAGAGCAAATCTTCCCCAAGAGTGAGCCAATGGTGCAGGACCAGCTACTGGCAGCCAGTGGGCACAAGGAACTCATTTCCCCCCAGGAAGGAGCCTCTCCCCCACACAGAGCATGTACATCTCAGTCACAGCCACAGCACCTGGGATGGTACCCAGCACCCAGTGGGAGCCCAGTAAAGCTCTGCTGAAGACAAGTCCATGCATGCACGCACACACGTGTGCGCACACACACACACACACACACACACACACACACACACCACTGCTTACAACTTCAGGAAAAGAAGCATGTGTCCCAGTCCCCCACACTGCTCGAGTTGTCCTGCCCCAAGGAGGCAAATATGGGTGATGGGGGTCCCTCTGGGAGTGGCCCAAGAGACAGTGGATGGCTGCGAAGCCCAGATGGGAGGCCAGCCCCAGGGTCACCCCTCTTGAGAGCTCTGACTCTGGCCAGTCCAGTTTAATACTGGCACTGGTGCCTCCAGAAGGGTGACTGCTCATGAGCAAATCCAGGAACCAAGGAGGGAGTGTCAAGCCCGAGAGTGCTTTCACCCCTGTTTCCAGCCCTGTTTGTCAGCATTCATGGAACTATTAAAAAAATTTACGTCCTTGGGGACTTTCCTGGCAGTCTAAGAATCTGTCTTGCAACGCAGCAGACACAGGTTCAATCCTGGATCAGGGAACCAAGATCCCGCAAGCTGTGTGGCATAGCCGAAAAGGAGTAGTAATAATAAATAAAAATAAATATAAAATATTAAAAAATTAATTAAATAATAAAAATAATAACAAAAAATAAAGCTTCATCTCTCAGAAAATGACATGAATTAACAGACTAATGGGTGAAAGTATTTTTCAGTCTGTCTCACATGCTGCTTGGCTGGCCATGTTTTCAGTCATCAACCTCTGGGGCTGCTCTTATGTGGTCACACTGACCGCAGAGTTATGCAGTTGTGACAGAGACTGCATGGCCCACAAAGCCTGAAACATTTACTCTCTGGCCCTTTGCAGGGGAGGTTTCCTCAGCTCGAAAAGCCCAGGAGAAATCCTCGACCAGCACGGCCAGCCCTGCTGGTGTCTTCACCCAGGTCTCTCCGCCCGCCTCTCACTCCATACTGTCCCTCCTCATAGGACTCTCTGCTCATACTAATAAAGGCTGCAGTTCCTGAACCATCCACCCAGCCAGTCCTGCAGCACAGGTAGCCCATGTGCCACTGGCAGAGGCCCCTCCAGTTGCCCCAGGATGGGAAGGGGGCATATACAGTGCCGAGGCTCAAACCCCTGCACTGGGGGGTTAAGGGCAGGGGGTTCTCACAGCACAGGGAGGGTGCTCAGATGCTGCCCGCCTATGACAGTGATGTGGCCACTCCTCTAGGATGGACTCACTGCAGGGACAGCAGGACAGGGCACCTTAGAGCCACTGAGCTTTTCCCCAACTGCTTTCCAGAAAGCAGGGGTCTGGGTCTGCACCCCCGGAAGTACGAGGACTGTCACTGCATAAACAGCAGCCTGGGGCACTGGCAGCTCTGAATGTCCTGCGTTTCTCTGGTCACCAACAAGGTAAGGGTGCCTGCATTCATGTGCAGCAACCACTCTTGTTCTAACTGACCACTCACACCCTTGCCCAACTTCTGATTTAGGCATTTAGCAAAAGGCCAGAGCTCTTTGGTACTAAACACACATACTGTCTTGATCTCTTATTCCAGGTTTTGCTACAATCATCTTCCCTGCATGTGTTTCGTGTTCAACGTTTGGGGGCTGCAGACAGCTGGCAAGTGCCTATGGCTGAGTCTGAAGACCCACACCCCCTGCTCCCCACTGCCAGGTTTCCCTAGAGCCCCACAGCGCTTCTAGGTTTTGATTCTATGTGTGTGTGTGTGTGTGTGTGGCACTGCATGGCTTGTGGGATCTCAGTTCCAAACCGGGCCATGCCAGTGAACACCCTCCCTGATGATCCACCCCGACTCACTCGGCCATGAACCCAGCCCTGGACAGCCCCTCCCTGCTGACCCACACTCAACCAGTATCTCCCTGTGATGGACTGGATGACCCTCCACCCTTACAAGAGACACTAGTGTCCTGGGTTCCAAGGCCAAGCTCTGACCGCCAGTTCCATCCCACAGACTGAGGTCCCCGTCGGCCCCCTCGTGCTTCCTGTTCTGGGGAGGACGCTGCCCTCCTCTCCTCTCTCTGCAAGTCCCTGGTTGAGCCCCTCTCTCTGCTCGAGAACATCAGCTGTGTCCAGTGAAGGGAGCTCTGGCCCGGGAGGCTGACAGCCCTTGCTTTCATCCTTAGGTCACCAGCAAAGATGGAGAGACATGACCTCCTTCGTCGGTTTGTCCCTGTGAGCCCTGCTGACCCTGCAGAGCCAGGCGTGCAGCTCCTGAGACATGTGGAGTGACTGCCCAGAGAACACAGGTGGATGGTGTGGCCTCCAGACATGGAGTCTGGGGAACGAAGGTGGGAAACCAGCCTGGGGATGAACGGCGACACGCCCACTTCCCCACCTGTGAACAGCCTGCTGCCGAAAGGCTGCGGGTATCAGGGTTGGCTCCCTCCTTGGCCTCATGGTGTTTGTTAAAAGCTTGTCGGTGCTCGGGGGGAGAGCAGATGGGAGAGGGCTAGAGTGGGTACCCTCACCCCAAATTCCTGCTCTTCCTTAGAGAGGAAAAGCCTTGCCCACAATTTTGGGGAGGGGGTGGCAGGAGGAGTGCCAGGCTCTGCACCCGACGAACAGAGAAATGCGTTTTCCTCCTAGAACCTGCAGGCAGGAGAGGCCAGGCCCCTCCGAGCAGCCTTGCCAAGTGGGTGGGCTTCATAGTGGGCCAGTGAGTCACTCTGTCAAGAAGGGTGTGAGTGGTTCCCTGAGGTCCTTCAGGGTGGCCTGGCCCATGTGCCTGAGACCATCTCTGGCCAGAACCGAGCTGGTGCCCAGAGGCACAGGAGAGAAGCTGCCTGGCCACAGGCTGGTCGGTCATCTGTTTCTTAAATAAACATGGGAGGGCAGGCAGTGGTACCTCATGTCGTTGGGGCTGGAAGTTTCAGTTTCTCTAGGTTTCATCTTGTCTGTCTGGGTGGTTTACCGCAGTCTCACGTCCACACCCATCGGGTGGCCCATCATCCCTGCAGCCCCCGCCCTCTGTCCACACGCAGTGATGCCCAGCCTCCCCACGGTATCTGATGCCCCAAGGACCGCGTGTCCTCTTGTCGTTGTCGGAGGCCCCAGGGCCCCCTCCTTCCCAACAGACATGCTTCATTCCTCCCTCCCTCCTGACACAGCCCCCAGGGCGCCCTTTCCTCCAATCATCCATTACAGGGAACGACACACCGCCACGCTGTGTGTGTGCCTGCTGCATGCCAGGTGCAGGGGCCAGCCTTCAGGGCAGGGTACCCGGCATGCGTGGGGCCCCAGGTCAGCAGGTGCTCGGCTGCTGTATGGGGCTCAGTGGTGTCCCCCAAAGTCATGTCCACCCAGAAATGACTGGGTCCTTGTCATGACTGGTGTCCGGGGGGTGAGGAGTTGGGGGTGTGGGGGTGGGGTGCAGAGACAGGAGGTGGCAGAGGCTGGAGGGCTATACTCCCAGCCCAAGGCTTCTGAGGATGCCAGCGACCCTAGAAGCTACACAGAGGCAGGAAGGACTCTCCCTGAGAGCAGCCCGGCCCTGAGAGCAGTCCTTGTTTTGGACTTCAGACACCAGACCGACCTGCTAAGCGCCTAGTCTGTGGCGCTCTAGGTGGGCAGCCCTGGGGCACGCAGTCTTCAGCCACGGGGCCTCTACAGGCACCTCCTTTCCACGTGGCAACAGGACAATGACAAAGCCACGTGAGCCCCGTGGTCTCTACAGGACACAGGGCAGCGTGAGGAGAAACACCATATGTATAGCCTTCGGAGTGAGCTGGGCAGCGGGGCCAAGGGATGGAGGGCCGTTATCGGGCCCTGGGCTTCACAGGACACCCTTGCAACCAGCAGGGGACACTGCGCGGTAACACATGCATCCTGGTTACGGGACAAATCCAGGGTCCCTTCTGAATGCCCATGGAGTCCTAGTGCCAGGACGAGGGTCACATGACGGGACATGGTACCGGACAGGGGTCATGCGACAAGGACACACAGGTCACATCTGTCAGAAAAGACCTGAGCTGGCGACTTGCTGGCTCAGGGAGCTCGTGAAGGGCTTGTGGTCATCCAGGGCTGAGTGTGGAGCCAGAGCCCAGCATCTCCTCCCGGGGGGCACTCACCCTGTTAAAGCGCTTGGCCTGGAAGAGGTGGCCGTTGGCGCGGTACAGCTTCCGCCATCTTCTGGCTCCACGGCGGTAGATGGATTCTGGAAAGAATAGGAGAAGAGTGTAAAGAAACGGCCTTGGGGCTGCGAGCCCAGCTCTACCACATGGGGGGCAGTGGGGACAGGCCGCCAGTTCAGGCGGCCTGGGGCAGTGACTGCGGAGCTGAGACGCCAGCACCCTCGTAGCTGTTCCACATTGCCGGGTGGGGAGACAGTGCCCCGGACGACCCACAAGGACGGCTGTCTGCAGGGGGTCAGGCTGTGAGGCCACTGGGGCCTGTGTACCCACCATGGGCTTCCTGTCCACTCCCTTTCCTCTGGGCGTGAAAACCAGGTCCCGTTCCACATGGGGACGGGCTCCATGGGAGCTAAGGGCTCTCCGGACCTTTACGCCCAATTGTCCGGGGAGGGACCCTGGCTGCCGGGAAGTTCACGGTCAGCCTGAGGCAGGCGTCCAGCCAGCACCGCCCCCCTCCCCCGGCTCCCCTTCAAGAACAAACCTAGGGGCAGAAACAAAGCAAAACCAACTGCACACTTATGCTGAGTTGAAAGTCACCAAAAACACCACGTTCCCAACCTGCACCAGACTTGTGTGGAAGCAGCGGCTCATGAAACACGCCGAGCTACACGTATGACCAGGGCGGGCAGTTTCATTCCTCCTCAAAAACATTTCCAACTTTGCTCCTTCCCAACGCTTTGAAAGTATGTAAAAACAAAATACTTGGGCTACAACGGGAAGCTTTGTGCTTTTACAGAGCTCCGTAGTGAAGGCGACTTTCATGAGAGTCAGGGAGCTGCCAGGAACATACAGAAGTGGAAACTGTAATGGAGTGTTTTTAAAACAAGCAAATGACCAGCTCTGGCTGGAACCTGTGAAACCTGGTCACAGTGACTGCAAAACTGGCTCCCCTCCCATTAAATGAGAGGTGTAGGGGGAAGCCAAGACGCCAACATGCAGACAGAATGGGGCTCCCTGCCTATCTTGCCCTGGGCTCCAAGGGGTTCCTGCTGATGCCCCAGGGCCCCTGCCTGATCACAGGGCGTGGCCCTCCCAGCCAGAGCTGGGGAAGTCTGGCCCCCGGCAGGTCCCTGCTGACGTCCACAGGGCTGACTGCCCTGTGTGTGGCATTCACCAGCCCCAGCCGTCCCTGCACGTGGCGGGGTAAGGCACCGAGTGACAGACTCCAAGATGCAGAGGGAGCTGGGTTGTCAGGCAGGGACTCGGTGGCACAAGGCTCTGGCTCCTTCCAGTGTTCAGCACACACACAGCACGAAAGCCTGAAAATGCATCCACAGGACGCCCTTCACATTTCGGTAAAGCCCCCGAAATAAGGAACTCAAAGATGTCCAAGCAGAGTCCAAGGGAGCCCCCAGCAGACCAGAAAGCTAGGTGAGGGGACAGAACAGAGTCCTTCTGGACTCCTATGTGTTGAGCAGGGCCGAGGGAACACGGGTGATGTCCCATTGGCCACAGTGAGAGAAGCCAGGACCCCCGCTGTTGTGTCTTTCCTGATTACACGTGGAAGCCCTGACTGCCCCCTCCAGCTCCTCTCCCTAGCCCCATGCATGGCTGTATTTGGGAGTGGGGCCCCTGAGGAGGTCACTGAGTTCAGTGGTCATGGTTGGGGCCCCCTGATGGGATCAGTACCCTCATAAGAAGAGGAGCAGACACCCGACCTCTGTCTCCACTGCATGGAGACCCAGCTGGGGCAGTGTCTATAAGCCATGAAGAGAGTGCTCACCAGGCCCCGACCCTGCTGGCACCCGGAGCTCAGCCGTCCACCCCCAGATCCTGAGAAGTGAGGTCTTGTGGTCTCTGCTGCATCCAGTGTATTGTGACAGTGGCTCGAGCAGACCAGACGCGTGCTTCACTCCACACACAAATCATCCCCTCAGTACATAAGGACTGAGGGACTTTCCTGGTGGTCCAGTGGCTAAGACTCTATGCTCCCAATGCAGGGGCTCAAGTTCAATTCCTGGTCAGGGGACTAGATCCCACATGCCACAACCAAGACCTGGTGCCACCACACAAATACATTCATCTAAAAAAAGATAAGGACTGAAACTAGGGGCAAAATGACAAGTCTTAGAAGGAAACGTGGACAATCTTAATTGAAGGTGGGGAAAACCCTGAAAACAAAAGAAGGAGAGGACGCACGTTCACCCTAAGGCCACATAAGGCCAGACAAACCCCTGCCTCATTATCAGCCATGCCACATGGGCTAATGATTCAGGATACAGGAGGCATGCCCACAAGTCAATGAGGGAAAACAGAAACGGGAACAGAAGACAAGTCTCCCATGATGTCAAATACTGTCAAGGATCAGAGTAAACTGAAGTCGCCTGTCCTTCTAGGGGAGCTTAACCATGGCCAGAATCAATGGTCGAGGGCATGTGTGCTTCCCCGGGACACAGCAGTCACACTGCTCCTAGACCAGCACCTGACAGGCCTCATATGTGGGCTCGTGGCCATCGGAGGATGTCTGTGGCCACCCAGGTCCAAGAGGACAGGTGACCTGGGGCAAGGCTGTCTGGGAGGACTCTCAGTCATAACCCAGCTTGAGCCACCTTCGGCCACACAAACGCATCTTCCAAAACCAAATTAAAAAAATCAGTATAAAATCACAGGGGCTTCCCTAGTGGCTCAATGGTAAAGAATCCACCTGCCAATGCAGGAGACATGGGTTTGATCCCTGATCCAGGAAGACCCCACGTGCCGTGGAGCAGCTAAGCCTGTACGCTACAACTATTGAGCCTTGCTCTAGAGCCCAGGAGCCACAACTACTGAAGCCCGAGTGCCCCAGAGTCTGTGCTCCACAACAAGAGAAGCCACTGCAATGAGAAGCCTGTGCACAACTAGAAAGTAGATCCCGCTCACCACAACCAGGGAAAAGCCTGTGCAGCAACAAAGACCCAGCACAGCCAAAGGTAAACAAATAAACAAAAAAAATTTAAATTATAAAATGACAGACTGATGTATATGAAATGGGCTCTGTAAAACGATGCCTGTTATCAAACTAAAAGGGCTTGCCCAGTGGCTCAGACAGTAAAGAATCTGCACACAATGCAGGAGACCTGGGTTCAACCCCTGGGTGGGGAAGATCCTAAGGAGAAGGGAATGGCAACCCACTCCAGTATTCTTGCCTGGAGAATACCATGGACAGAGGAGCCTGGAGGTCTACAGTCCACAGGGTCAAACTAAAAATCAAGAAAATGGGCAGTGTGATGTTTCAGGATGTATGTTCATAAAGGGACATCATCCTAGTAAGTGGAAGACTGGGACAGTGCATCAGTGCTGGGCAGGTTGGCTGCTAAGGGTGTGCATGTCCACTCCACTGTATGTTTCATAACATGTGTGATTCCCATGTTCTTGGGGTGCCTCAAAGGCTGCAGTAAACAATATACAATAGGAACTGTAAAAACACAGGGAGGGGCCAGAGGTGGCAACAATGACATGGTTATAAATGAATCTCAGATCCTAGTAGAAACACTGAGTTGTCTCTGCACAGAGGCTCCAGCTGTTGCTGTGAGCCCACTGCAGGAACCATGTCCATGCCGCTGCTGCTTGTGCCCTGACCAGTGGGGAGCAGTGCCTGCAGACACACGCTCCACACTGGGAGGACACTGGTCAGAGGGGTTGGTTTGGGGAGCCACAGGACAGATGCAACATGGCTCCCAGGTGGCAGAGGTTGCAGGTGTATAAGTTCAGGGAGAAGCAGGGAGGAAGTGCTGAGCAGATGGGAGGAAAGAGGCATCCTCCAAGCCCCAGAAGACAACCAGCCCTCCTGGGGGAGGGGTCAGTGTATGTCCAGCACATGCAGGACAGACACATCAGACACATGTCGAACAGAGGTGTGACTGTGCTGTCTTTAGCAGGAGACTGAGTGTGGATTCAGGAGGCACCTCTTGGCAGTGGGGGGTGGGGATGTGATGGTGCATTTCATGTGTCAGCTAGGTGGATCACAGTGCCCAGATTTGTGGTCAAAATATCTTGGATGTTTCTATGAGTGTGCTTCAAGATGAGATGAACATTTAAATCAATGGCCTTGGAGTGGAGCAGACTGCCCCCCACAGGTGGGCTTCATCTGATCAGATGATGGCTTTGTTCAGTTGTTCAGCCACGTCTGACTCTTGGTGATCTCATAGACTACAGCATGCCACGCTTTCCTGTCCCTCACTATCTCTTGGCAATTGCTCAGATTCATGTCTATTGAGTTAGTGATGCCATTCAACCGTCTCATCCTCTGTCGTGATGACAGCCTGAACAAACCGAAAGGCCGCCTTCCCCCAGCGAGAGAGGGATACTGCGGCAGCAGCTCCGGACCTGGACCGCGGCGGCAGCTCCTCCCACATCTCCAGCCTGCAGGCCTGACTTGCGTCCTCCATGACCCTGTGAGCAGGCTCCTTACAATAACGACTCTCCTGGCAGGGATGGGGAGATGTCAGAGCCCCAGCAGGGCAGACCCTGGCCCCAATCCCAGCAGAGGCACAGGAGCCCCTGGGTGTCCAGCCCACACCCACATTGCCAACTGGAAAGCAGTGCCCCGTGGACTTATAAGGAACCATGAGGGACCACAGGGAATCCCATACCGGTTTTTTTTTTTTTTTTGAGGGGGGAGGGACACTGCATGGCATGTGGGATCAAAGCTGTGCCCCCTGCACTGGAAGGCAGTCTTAACCAATGGACTGCTAGGGAAGTCCCCATTTCACACTTACATTCTGGAGTGCCAAGTCAAGTGGGTCTTAAGAAGCACTGCTGTTAATAAAGCTAGTGGATGTGATGAAATTCCAGCAAAACTATCCAGATCCCTAAAGGATGATGCTGTCAAGGTTTTGCATTCATTATGTCAGCAAATATGGAAGATCCAGAAGTGGCCACAGGACTGGAAAAGGTCAATCCTCATCCCAATTCCCAAGAAGGATAGTACTAAAGAATGTGTTAATCATCAGACAATTGCACTCATCTCCTGTGCTAGTAAGGTCATGCTTAAAATCTTGCATGCCATGCTTCAGCATTATGCGAACCAAGAACTTCCAGATGT